CCTCCCCGTGGTTTGAGCTCCCATCCAACCAGGTGTGACGCCCCTGCACACCTCCCGGAGTTCACATGATTTTAACTCATACATCTTTCCCTCCCTCCCACTCCCGCCACCTTCCCACCCATGATCATGTCTGTTTTCCAGGAGCAAACAGCACCACCACCAGTTGGTCTGTTTCTTGCTGCCTCCATTGCCACATCTAATCTTACCACCACCTCTGCTGTCTGCCACTCTCTTCCCTCGTTGGGCTACACTTTTTTCTCCATGTTATTCTCTGCTTCCTCCTTTGTCTGCCACCAATTCTGAATGTCTCCGCTTTGGCTTCTCAAGAACCAAATCCCGCTTTGTGGCCAGCAGACCAATCACACTCTGCTGCCTGTGATTGCTACTAGTACAGCTTTGGTTCAGCCCAGCTATTTTGGTCCCTGCTCTGCGCTCTGAGACTTTTCTCACTTTCCTCTGGGTTTACACCTCTTTCAGCACTCAAAGGGTGACAGACATCTTTAGAGTTGGTTAACTGAGCTGTAAAGGTCAGACTTATGACGTGGCTGGTGATATTGATTAATGGATCCAGGTGCAAAAAGATGAAAGGTGGGTCATTTTGTTTAAAACTGAATGAGGAGTTTTCCTTTAGTGGATTTTTTTTTCCCCCAGATGGGACAATGGAGCCTATTGCCTCTTTAAACAAAGAAGTCAAACTACAATAGATTGAATTTCAGCAAATGTTTTTTTTTCCCACTTCTAACAGATACCAAGAATTGTGCTTGGTGCTTTCGTGTACATTACTTATTAAACCTTGCCGAGACGAAATTCCTTTTTTTGGTACCCAGACTTTGCCTCCTAGACGAACTGTTCATCTATTCATTCATTCATTATTTATTATGCCAGGCACTGTGCTATGTACCATCGCAAATACGCAAATAATTATGAGCTCCTCAGGAACTCAATCTAGTGAGGAAAACATGTCAGCATCAGGTGTGATGCTGTGGCGTTGTGTTTAGAGTGGTAGAGGAGTAAGGCACTTCGGGAGCAACCAGGGCACCCACTAGTTCTGCCCGGGAGAGTTCAGGAAGGTTTACTGAAGGAGATGACATTTCAGCCAGACCTGAAGGAGGAGTTTGCTCACACACATAAAGAGTATGGGGTTTGGAGGCAGCAAGAGCAGCCTGGACGTGTGGAAGGGCAGGACATGTTTTGGAATTGCTATGACTGGAGTTTGGAAGACTTGCTCCAACATCAGAGGCTCCTGCCAAGGGCAGTCAGAGAACTGCCCAGGTCACGGAACAAGTGAGGGGCAGAGACAGAGTTAAGCAACAGCAGTTGGGACTGTCTGGTGGCTAGTCCAGAGTCCTTGGCCTCCTACCCTCTAACACACCATGCGCATATGCTATTGGGCATGCACCAGGTCCAAGCTCAGTGCCCTGTTCCCTGGTGTAGGGCTGCCATTTCACCTCCCTCTCCTGCTCCCACTTCCCTTCTTAGGCGCCTGCCTCTGAGCTCTGAGGATTGTCCCCAGTGAGCATGGGAGGGAAGCAGAACCCAGCGAAGGCTGATCCATTCTGATGTTTGGTCCCAGACATTTACCTAGGATTTGAGTGCTTAGATCTTAACTCCTGTAGCTTCTGAGATAGACTTCATAATGGATCCGTTTGGCTTTGAGATGCCTCTTGCTGGAGTGTCCCAGAAAAGGACCTGGGGAAGTCAGCCTGCCCTTTACTGAGGAGATACTTTTAATTTCCTGAAGCCCTAGAAGGCTGGAGTGGGTTTATGCCTAAAGTTCCCTGTACCCTACCCACTACCATAAGCACTAATGAGAGCAGGAGGGGAGAAGAGTCTTAAATTCCATGCTAGTTTAGAGGTAGGTAATCAAAAAAATAATCAGTTGGCTGACTGGTTTGTCAACAGTATCTGTCCAAAAAGCCTCAGCCATTTCCCAAATGCCATAATTCATTTTAGTTGGATTTTTAGAGAGGAATTGGATTTGTTTTTTATTTGTACCATACCTTTTTTTGGAAGAGCTCTCAGCAGTTTACTGATGGAAACAATGTTCTTAAGTAAGACTTTTAAGGATGAAACATACCGTGGTGGTCAGAAGGATGAAAAAAAAAAATAATAGCTACTTCCAAGCATCAATGTTTTCAACACTTTTGCTATAAATTTGGCTGAAAGATTCCATGGCAGAAAGGCCAAAAAGGAAAACCACTGGTTACCCAGTGTTCATTTTTTGAAACCAAAAACAAAAACAACAACAACAACAACAACAAAAAAAACATACAGAATCCTGTAGGGAAATCATTTTCCTTAAGCTCAAGTTTGGTAGAAGTGATTGTGTTTGGTCCTAAGAAGTTGAGAAACAGGGTAAAAAGCACACAATTCAAGTCAGCTGATGTTTCTCATGTGCAGTTGAGAGGTTATGCCCATAGGTCACCTGAGAGCAAGTAGGCTTGACCATGACAATGTCCTGCCTTCAAAGGACCCAGTAGGACTGGCTTTTGGTTCAGGCAGAATGTGATTGGCTGCCTTCTGCACCTGCCCCTATTGGGGATCAACATGCATGTTACCCAAAGAAAGAGGTCACACCCACCTTTTGGGTGATTATGTCAGGTGCATTTGTTCATTTCCTCTTCATAACCATCTGGGGAGGAGGAATTGTTGTTTACATTTTATAAATAAGAAAATGGAAGCTCAATTTTTTGGCTGATCCTAAGTCACAATCAAGTCACAAGTGATTCTTTGTAATTTGTCCTTTTGGTAAATGGATTATTATACAGGGTGGGGCAAACACAGATGTACAGTGGTGAGTACTCGAAACACAGGGTTTATTCTCAGATTATTTTCCATACAAACTGTAAACATACTTTTGCCACACCCTGTATATCACCTCTCCACTTTCTTCCTTTCCAACCCTCTCTACATACGATCACACAGCCCTCCCCCAAGTTGTGTCATTTTAAAGAATGCTCAGATGTGCCAGGCTCCCTCACAGCTCCAGACAATTGCACGTGCCATATCCACCAAAACAGCTCTGATCCCAACTTCACTCAGAGGCCTCCCCCAAGCTCTCCTCTCTCCCTGTCCCTGACCCCATGTGGCTAAGACACCCTTCTTTTGTTCTCCCATAGAAAAGTGTATTTTTTATTGTTTCCAGAGATGAAGGGAGAGGGACAGAGGGATAGGACATCAATGATGAGAATCATTGATCAGCTGCCTCCTGCATGCCCCATACTGGGGACTGAGCCCACAACCTGGACATGTGCCCTGACCAGGAATCAAACCGTGACCTCCTGGTTCTTAGGTCTACGTTCAAACACTGAGCCATGCTGGCTGGGCTGTTTTTGTGTTTTTAAAAAAATACATGTCTTTATAACTTTCAGAGAGGAAGAGGGAGGGAAAGAGAAACATCAATGATGAAAGAGAATCATTGATTGGCTGCCTTCTGCACCTGCACCCTATTGGGGATCAAGTCAGCAACCCAGGCATATGCCCAGACCAGCATTGAACGTGATCTCCTGGTTTATAGGTTGACACTCAGCCATGAGCCATGCTGTTTTTAATCAGTCCAATGGGTTTTATCACAAGACAATAAAGATGTTAGTCACCTTTGGTAAAGTAAATATTTAGTTTCTGGTTTGCCTCCTTCCAAAAATGGCTTGATTTGACTTGTAATAGTAATAACAGGCATAGCCACAATAAGACTGTTCAGATAGAAACAAGAAACAAAAGCTATAGATAGAGAGGGAGGAATATGGTTGCCTACATTCTTTTTCTTCCATGAGCTCACCTGGTTCAGGACAATCCTCTGTGGAGGGGCACAGGTTCTGTCTGGCTTAGAGACAAGCACTCAGGAGGCTCCTGTAAATGCTTATGGGTTCAGGAAAGACAGGGATGTTTTTCTCATTCTCCAATTGATGCCACAAGTGATTCCTGGTGTTCTGGTTTCTTCAGGCTTCCATCCCCTTGTGCTCATTAGTGGGAATAATTGTCTTTACTTCGCTGCCTTTCAGATTCATTGCTTTGTTTGAGCTTCATCATCCAAGCTACTTCAGATTCTCTTGCTCTTTTTTCTCCTTTTTATTTTTAATGACTCCATGCATAAAACTTAGAAAAAAGAAAAGAGCAAAAAAAGAAGTCCCCCAAGATACTATAACAAAGGATATTTATTCTTTTTTACATAAAAATGTTGACATTATTTCAGATTTTCAGAAAAGTTTTCGAGAATAGGACAAAGAATTACTGAACACCTTTCACCTGATTCCCCAGCTATTAACATTTTACTACATCTGTTTCCTCTCTCTCTCTTTCTACTTTTTTTTTCCTGAGCTCATTTTAAAAAGAGTTGCAGATATGATATACCCTTATGTAAACCTAAATACTTTAGTGTGTATTTATTAAAAATAAGAAATTCTCTTATGTAATCATACTATTATTGTGTCCTTATAAGCTTTTCTATGCATATGTTTATGTATTGATATTTAAGTTAAATATTAATATTGTTTTGTTTTTATATGTTTTTAATGGCTTGCTTTTTAGGAGGGGTTAGCAGTAAAGAATATATGTAATCTCATGCCAGTAAATATTCTACAGCATAATTCTTCCTCAGACTCTGGCTCTAGACAAGTAGGTTTCTGGAAGGTCACTCTCTTTCAGAAAATGAACTGTCCCTGTGCCCTCGCATGTCTTGTCATATGTCACATCTGTCAGTGCAAACCACTCAATAGATGAGCAAAGAGTCAGGATAGTAGAAAGCCTTGAATGCAAATTTAATCTTTATTCTGGAGCCAGTAGAGATCAGTGAAAAGTTTGTAGCAGGGAGTAAGCCAACATGAGCTGTGTTTTCTGGAGATAAATTTGCATGTCTCCAGGAGAGAGTCGAGGAGGAAGAAATCAGAGCACGAGTCCTCAGGTCCCCTGGGTGAAATGATCCGTCTCCAGGGCAGGTCTCTGCCAGGTAGAACAGAGGCTTCTCCCGCATAATGCGTCCTTTCCTTTCCCGTGTCTTTCAGAGCTGGCTGAAGTCCTATGGCTATCTGCTTCCCTATGACTCCCGGGCACCGGCGTTGCACTCAGGGAAGGCCTTACAGTCCGCTGTCTCCACTATGCAGCAGTTTTACGGGATCCCAGTCACCGGGGTGTTGGATCAGACAACAATCGAGTAAGATTCGCACAGGGCATTGTGCCTTTGAAACTTCAGGACTTACGTTTAGGTTCACATTTGTCATGGCCTCATGTGTACACCATGCCCATCCTACCTTCCTCACCTTTGCTCTTCAGTGTCATCCGGGAGGCAACACCCCACAGTGCCCTTTCCTACGTGAGTTGGGATGTGCTCTGCCACAAACGTGCTGTGTGACAAGCCACTTAACTCTTTGGAGCCGGGGCTTTCTCATCAGCACAATGAGGGGTTTAGCTGTAGATTATCTGATTTCCCCTGACTCTGGAACTGGTGGTTCTATGAGTCATCCCTCTAGCATTCCCCGAGACAGACACTTGATGCAGAGAACACTTGAAGAGAAGTTAACAACACTTTTTTCCATTTATCAAATGTTTGCTGAGTGCCTGTGCTTGATCCTATGATCTCAGCTCCCCCAGAGGCTTACCATTTAGTGAAAAATAGGCATCTGGCTACATCAGCCTAGGACTCAGAGGGAACACTGAGTTTCAGGGAAACACTGAGTAGGTAATAACAAACCAGCCATGAGGATGGTCGAGATGGCGCAGGGAGGGTATAAAGAGGAGGAAGAGAAGAGTGCCAGAGTTGGAGCCCCTCAAAGCAAGCTGAGAAGGAGCAGACAGAGAGGCTTAAGGAGCCTGGGGTTGTGATGTCATGGCAGTGAGGGAGGGAATGGCAAATGAGCTCAGCGGCTGCAGGCTGGTCAGATGGGAGCCTGAGATGTGTCTGCTGAGAAACAAAGAGGCCATTGTAAGCTCTGAGGAATGGTGGAGACAAATTAGGTTGCAGTGGGGAGGAGAGGTGAGAAGGAGAGATGGCAAATGTAGGAAAACTTTCAATAGTGAAAGGGAGGAATAGATCGTAGCTAGAGAGGAATGAATTTTATTTGTTAATAAGTTTAAAGAGAGTTGGGCATGCTTCAGTGTGTTTAAGAAATAGCCATGGAAGTTATTGAAGCTGTTTAAGAAAAGCCATAAACACCATGAAGTCATGAGAAAGGAGGTGGGGGTTGGATCCTGACCTCAGGTGGAGGAGAGAGCTGGGCTGGATGAGGAGGTGGGGAAGGCATTTGGTGAAAGAACAGAAAATCCACCCAATTGAGGAGCCAGGATCTATCCATCCCTTGGATGAGTCACGCCGCGAGAGAATCATCTCTCTGGGCTTCTGCTTGTTCGTTTGCAAAGGGAGGTGTTGAATTATGAGTCTCAAATTCTGGATTCCATTGTTCTGAGTGTCTAAGCTTTTAAAGTTTGGTGAGTGTGGGATTTTATGATCCTAACATTCTGTCCTAATGTTTTCTATTCCTAGGATTCTCTCTGAGTGTGAGACTGTGGAATTCTGAGAGATAATACATTAGACAGCTCCTATGGTGCTGGGAGTACAATGGACTCCTTAGCCCTGTGGCCCCACGAGTGAGCGGTTAGAGAAGACCCGGCCACCTTTCACAGCGGAGGTTATTTTGAGGGCTTTGTGCAGGGCTCATGGCAGTGCATCCTGGGGCAGAAGCACGGTTGTCTCTGCTGAGGTACCACCTGGCCTTGGGTTTCACTCTGTTCCAGAAAGCCCCAGGCCTGTTGGACAGAGTTCAGAGTGTGGCAGGTGGACACAAGAGGAGGAGGCAGAGGGAATGATCTCAGGGAGGAGGATGGCATTTCCAACTGGCGGTTCTGCCCCGCCCCCTCTTTGCAGGAAGGTGGGGAATGCTGATTTGGAGGCATGGAAAGGAAGAAGGCAGTCACACTTAAAACAAGAATGGGGAGGAGCTTGAGGTAAGATTTAGAGACCTTAGTTTTGGCTCCAGCTCTGTGGCCTCGGGCAGTCCACTGCCTCCTCTGGGCCTGTTCCCCTCCCCCTCTTCCCCCCCTCCGCCATCCCATCCCCCCCTTCACCCCCCCCCCCAACCTCCCAGGCCTTGCTCAGCCTTGCCACTGCAGAGATGGCTCCAGGGACTGTCAGTGAAAGGAAGCTAGGTTAACAATTCAAAGTATTATTTTTGAGTGCCTACTTGGAAAATGTCACACATTAGTCATTCATTCATTCATACATTCATTCATTCAGCAAACAGTTCCTTTAACCCCATCTTGTGCCAAGCATGAAAATTAATAGTTCACTTATTCATTCAACTAAGTCACAGCCCCGCCTCACCGTTTTGTTATATTTTGCACGTTACTCAATTTATCTGTGTCTCTTTTCCCTCACCTATAATGCAGAGAATAAATAATTTCTGGTTACCTCACAAAGTTGTATTGAGAATCAGGGGAAAAAATTTTTTTATGTAAACACTGAAAATTATCAATTTTTATTCCAATGCATGGTATTGTTATTGTGTTTTTCGTTATTGATTTCTGAGTGTAGGGCACTGTAGATGATGTAGACACTGTACTGTATTTGGTTATGATATTCTGTCTCTCTTCTCTATTGCCAGTGGCAACTGCTTTCAACAACTGCAAATGAGGTCAGACCGTTTTCCCTTCTGGCAATCCCAAGCTACGGTTCAGTGAGATAGCCATTAGGCCAGCAGGGACTTGGATGGCCTGGGCCCCAATCAGCCATGAGCTTTTACATCTTCTACCCTGGCCCCTTTTTTATATCCCAGCGATGTCTGAGACTTACTGTCCCCTGATATAACGTTACCTAGTACAGTCATCAGGGTTTACTTTAGTTCTAGGCACTGGGTTAACTTCCGGGGAAACAGTGATGAATGTGATTCAGTTCCTGTCCTCAAAGATTTTCCCCTTTACTAGAGGCAATAGACTAATAAATTTAAAAGTTACATTCTATGGCCTACAGTTGTTTAGCCACTTTTTGAACAACAGGGCATGCGCGGTCTTCCAAGCTACACCATTGTACTGTTGAACAGTTCTCACTCATTCGACAACCCACTATCAACCACCTTCTGTGCCAGACACTGTGCCAGCACTGGGGATACAGGCCCGGTTCCTGTCCTCAGGTGGCTTAGAATCTGGTGTGAGAGAAAAAGAATAAACAAAAATGCAAATGTATAATTTCCATGAATGGTAAATGCTACGAAGAAAAGCTAAGCAGGATAAACCTCAGAGAAGATGAGCAGGGAAGTCCTCTCTGAAGGGGTGACATTTGTGCAGACACCTTAACGAAGGGAACAAACCATGTGAAGAAGAGTGTTGCAAGCAGAGGGAACAGCCGTTGCCAAGACCCCGCAGTGGCTACAATCTTAGCATGTCCAAGGCACAGCAAGGAGGTCACTGTGGCTGGAGCAGAATGTACGAGGGGGGAAAGGTTGAAGGTGTCATCGGACAAGCAGGCAGGGACTAGATCACATGGGGCCCTGTGAGCCAAGGTAGGGAGTTTTGAATTAATTCTAGAGATTTGGGGGGGGGGGGGGATCACCGGAGGGTTTTAAGCCAGGAAATGATATGATTCAATAACATTACAGAGAATTTTCACATGTATGCCCTCCTTGGACATAAGCACAGCAAGAACTTGAATTTTCATGTTGCAGATGAGGAAAGGAGGCTCATGCTGATTCAGTCGCTTGCCTAGGCTCCGATGATTAGTGGTAGGGCTGGAACTATCAAGCCCATCCTCCTGATCCCAGTCTCATAAGCAGCAGTGTTTCTGCATATTCAGTTGTGAGTGAGTGAGTGAATGAATGAATGAGTCGACTATGTTCCTATTGGGGAACCCATCAAAGCCAGGGTTCCAGTGACCCCCGGGACTGGGGACTGTGCAGCATCTTCCTAGAGTGCTCAGTGACCACAGTGTAGGTGTGTATGTGTCTTCTCTCTGCCCAGATGGATGAAGAAACCCCGATGTGGTGTCCCTGATCACCCCCACTTGAGCCGTAGGCGGAGAAACAAGCGCTATGCCCTCACGGGACAGAAGTGGAGGCAGAAACACATCACCTACAGGTGCTTTGACTTCCTCTCTTCCTCCCTGGGTTTGACTCCACCTTCATTCTCTTTTTTCCTGGCCTGAGTTTCAGAGGCTGACACTTTAGGTGGGTCTGTGATCAGGGCGTGGGCCAGGTGCTGAGAGCCTATGACTTTGTCATTCTTGTAGCTTCCAGAGGATGCTGTATCCAACTTCAGACTTGTTTGGTCCTTCAGGGGTTCTCCACTGTGTTTACATTCCAATCACGTTTAGTTATGGGAAGTGGGGCATGGATTGTTCAGTAACGTTTAGCTATGATAAAGAACCACAGCTGTGCCGAGACCAGTTTGGCTCAGTGGATAGAGCGTCTGCCTGCGGACTGAAAGGTCCCGGGTTCGATTCCGGTCAAGGGCATATACCTTGGTTGCGGGCACATCCCCAGTGGAGAGTGTGCAGGAGGCAGCTGATCGGTGTTTCTAGCTCTCTATCCCTCTCCCTTCCTCTCTGAAAAAAAAAAAATCACTAAAATATATTAAAAATCACCGCTTGAAAAACCACACTCTCTGTAATCTACATCCCTTCCCCACTTAATCTGACAGACTTCATGCGAGAGTCCCAGCACCAGTTTCCAGCTGTTTCTTAAGGACGATAGAGGACGGGGACCTGAATCACAACAGTGTCATGCGCTGATTGTCTAGGGCAGTGGTCGGCAAACTGTGGCTCTTGAGCCACATACGGCTCTTTAGCCCCTTGACTGTAGCTCTTCCACAAAATACTACGTGCGAGCACGCACATACAGTGCGATTGAAACTTCGTTGCCCATGCACAGAAGTCAATTTTCGGCTTTCAAAAGAAATTTCAGTCATTGTACTGTTGATATTTGGCTCTGTTGACTAATAAGTTTGCCGACCACTGGTCTAGGGAAACCAAGGACAGAGCAGGATCAGTCTTCAAGTCACACCAGCGATCAAGAGCAGGGATGATGGAGCCCATCACAGCATTCTCGGATGCTTGAATTCAGAGTGGGGCTGGACAAGAGCTGGACATAGGGCAGGCTCAGGTGGCCTCTGGTTGGCACCTCACAAGACTCTGATTCCATCTCGAGTAGAACTCCTGGATTCTGAGGTGGGATTTAAGATAGAGATCTTAGAGTAGAACTAAGGGCTCTCCTGCTGACAAGCTGTAGAGATCAGATTCTTTCAGAAGTCTGACAACAAAAAGAAACTGAAGAATCTGGATTTGAAACTGAATAGACTCTTAGGGTCTCCTGAAGAGGTAGAGTGGATCAAGAAAAAGAACCGAATTCTAGTGCAATCCTGAACTTAATTTCTAGCACCCAATCTTTCTGAGCCTCAGTCTTCTTGCCTATGGATTGGGTGAATAATCCTTGTTCCAGGTGTCCACGGGGCAGAACATCCAGAAACAGTGATGCTCCATTGTGGATAGTCATGCAATATGGATATAGTAACCTTAAATAGCTAAATCTATAACTGATTAAATCATATACTATCCTATACCAGCTTTTAAGTAGACCAGCAGTATATAATTGATCCTGGGTTGCAAGCTCAATCCCTAGTGGGGAATGTGCAGGAGGTAGCCAATAAATTGTTCTCATCATTGATGTTTCTATCTCTCTCCCCCTCTCCCCTCCTCTCTGAAATCAATAAAAATGTATTTTTAAAAAGAGAAAGAAACATCAATGATGAGAGAGAATCATTGATCAGCTGCCTCTTGCATGGCCCCCACTGGGAATGGAGCCTGCAACCCAGGCATGTGCCCTGACCGGGAATCAAACTGTGACCTCTTGGTTCATAGGTCAACACTCAACCACTGAGCCGCACCAGCCAGGCAGAAGAACATACAATTTAGAAACTACTATCCACCAACTTTTTCCCCCCTAAATTGAAGAGAAATCCTATATTCAACACAGACTTTGTCAGAGACCAAATACAAAACATTGATTAAACCAAAGATACTCTGATTTAGGCAAGGTTTGGAATCCAGAGCCTTGTCTTTCCCTCAACCCCTAGGGCACCTCAGCAGAATTCTAAGTGTCAAAATTTGAAGATTATTTGGGCTTATAGACTCTGAAGTTCTGCTAATCTTTGACTCTGTCCGTTCCTCCCTATTCTAATTCCTTCCCCTCTCTCACCAGCATTCACAACTACACCCCAAAGGTGGGTGAGCTGGACACACGGAAAGCTATTCGCCAGGCATTTGATGTGTGGCAGAAGGTGACCCCACTGACCTTCGAAGAGGTGCCATACCATGAGATCAAAAGTGACCGGAAGGAGGCAGACATCATGATCTTCTTTGCTTCTGGCTTCCATGGAGACAGTTCCCCATTTGATGGGGAAGGAGGATTCCTGGCTCATGCCTACTTCCCTGGCCCCGGAATTGGAGGAGACACTCACTTTGATTCAGATGAGCCATGGACCTTAGGAAACGCCAACCATGATGGTAAGGCAATGAGGGAACAGGGGATCAATCCTGGGTTTCTCAGAAGCCCCGAGGAAGAACCTGGAGGATACCATAGATGAGATGAGTTCCCAGTTTCTAGAGCTTCTTGTCCAAGAACTAAGAACTTAAAAGAGTAGGAACAATGACCTCTCATAATATTCAAATGTGCTCCACCAGGGTCAAGGCCATGGAGATGAGTGAGATCACTTAGTAAATGGTCTAACTGGGCTGAGTCAGAAGGGGGGAGTTGGAGCATAGAAAAGGAGATAAAGTAATGAGTCAGAGGCTGGGAAAAAGCATTAAAAAATAATTATAGCTGAATGTGGGGTCTGAAAGTGGTAGGCTCTGGCCTGACTGATGACAGCTTCAAAGGCCATCTTATGGGATGATGTGACTGGCTCACTTCCTGATGTCAACCTCACATGAACAACATCCTTGGATAACTTGCTCTTCATCACTATGATTTAATGAATATTACATGGGTCCAGATTCAATACTGTTCAGTAACAATAACAATACTCTTCAGGTTGCAAAAGAGTCCCTCATCTATATTTACTCATAAGGCACATGTTTATAAATCAGCAAGTGTATAAATTTTTAAATGAAGAGTTTGGGATTCATGGGCATAGGTGGTAGATAAATGGCAGTGCCATAGTTCAACCACCTGGCTATGTCTCTAGGGACAACTAATTCACCCCCAGTCTCCTCACCTATAAAATGAGGGACCGGATTAGATGAGGTCCCTTCCAACTTCAGTGAAACATGATACCCAACCCAGGGGATCCAAACATAAAAAAAAAAAAAAAAAAAAAAAAAAAAAAAAAAAAAAGACATGGGCTCTGCCCTCTGGAAGTCCAGGGTCAAGTCTGGGAGACAGCGATGTACCTAAATTTCCCTGTCACAGGCGGCCTGGAGGATATACCAGAAATGGAAAGAAAATGCAGTAGGAGTCTAGATTGCAACAGACAACTAGTATGTTAATATTCTAAGGCCTTGCCAAGTGCTTTTTATGTGTGTGTGTATATATATATATATATATATATATATATATATATACACACATTACTACCCCCATTTTACAGATAGGTAAACTAAATAGAGAAATATTAGGTCGCCTACCCAAGGTCCCATAGATGGTGAATGATGAAGTAAAGTTTTGAACCTGAGCATTAAGACTTCACAGCACACCCAAACTTTTTTAAAGAATGCAGACTTCAGGCTCCAGGCCCCTAACCTTTTGCTATTCTGATTCTCTGATTCTGGGCCTGGGCCTGGGAATCTGCATGTCGTCTGATAAAAATCCCTTCTGATGCAGGGGTTCCATCACCTCAAGAAACACTGTCTCCAACCCCAGGGTGTCTTTAACAGGTCACAAGACTCAGCCAGGTCTTTTGTTATAAACATGGATCCAGGCCCTCCCCCTGGGGATTCTCATTCTATGGCTAGGCAAGTTTGGGAAACACTGGGCATTCTTTTCCTTGGCAAAGCTCAGGCTGAGAGCAGACTTTAAGACCCATTTCCTCAGAGGCTGTGCCTAGTATTTGTAAACGGGGATGACCTCCTTGAGAAAAATCTGTGCCTATCTTTGCATGGATCAGAGATCATCAACTCTTGGCTCAGCCTTCAAAGGCTGGTTCAGGAGGTGGTTTGGCCAAAGCTCAGCCCAGGCAAAATTATAAATCTAATTTCCCTTTACCCTTTCCCCCCACCCCCGCCCCCTCACTGCCCTCTTCGAACTTGCGTCCTCTTTCCTACCTAGCTCCATTTCCTCTCCCCAGTGTCCCTTCCCTTCTGTCCTGGATGTGGTTTCCTGGCTTTCAGAACTCCTGTTCTTTATCTCATTCTTATTCTTGGATCTGTGTCAAGGAATGGCGGTCTATGCTAACTGATAAGGTGTGAAGAGAAGAAAACGAACATTTTTTTAGCTCCAGTTATATGCCAGCTTGTGAGATTTTAAATTATAGCCCTGATAGAGATAAAGAAAATCCTAAAAGGTTGTTGTCCAAGGAGTACTGGGAAGACACTCCTCCTTTGCCCTCCCTTTCCCTGTTCTGGGGTTTGCATTTCCCAGATCCACTCCTTGCTGTTGGAAACCCTGGACCCAGTCTTAAAAGCCTAAGTGTTGCTGGTGGTGTGGATGGAAAGGAGTTGGGACCATCCCAGCACTGTCCTGTCTGTCCCACCCCGTCCTGATGAATGACTGCTGGTTCTGATAGAAATTCCAAGGTAGCCAATGTCTTCTCTGGACAAGGGTCGGGGCTTTTCTGTGCTCTGGAAAACCAAGCATGAACTATCCAGATGCCTCTCCTAGCCACAGTAATAGCTGGCTGGCGAGCTGGAAAGGCACCTGCTGCCCTAGGACGGCTTTTGAAAGGGAAGGATAGGAACCGAGATTTATGGAGCACCTGTATATTATCTTGTTTAATTTCCACATAAACTCAGGGAGGGAGGGAGCAGTGTTCTCCTGGGAACTTTTGTTTACTGGCTTTCTTCTCTAATCTAAATTTCCAATATGGAAAATTTCAAATTCACAAAAGTAGAGAGAATGACAGTATGAACCCCCAGGCACCCATTACCCTGCAACAACAATTATCAACATTATGTCATTCCTATTTTATCTACCCTCTCCCCTCACACACTTTTATTTTTGGCTGACGTTGTGGTTTTGTGTGTGTGTGTGTGTGTGTGTGTTGTTTTTTGTTTTGTGTGTGTGTGTGTGTGTGTGTTTAAATTTCAGAGAGAGAGGGAGATGGAGAGAGAGATAGAAACATTAATGATGAGAAAGAATCATTGGCCGAAACCGGTTTGGCTCAGTGATAGAGCGTCGGTCTGCGGACTGAAAGGTTCCAGGTTCGATTCCGGTCAGGGGCATGTACCTTGGTTGCGGGCACATTCCTGGTAGGGGGTGTGTGAGAAGCAGCTGGTCGGTGTTTCTCTCTCATCGAGGTTTCTAGCTCTCTATCTCTCTCCCTTCCTCTATGTTAAAAATCAATAAAATATTAAAAAAAAAAAAAAAAGAATCATTGATTGGCTGCCTTCTGCACATCCCCCACTGGGGACCAAGTTCACCACCCGGTCATGAGCCCTCTCCAGAAATTGAACCCTGATCTCCTGATTCATAGATGATACTCAACCATGCTGGCAAGGCTTGGCTAAGGTATTCTAAAGAAAATCCCAGGCATAATCATTTCACCTGTAAATACTTTGGTATATATCAGTACCTCTGATTACTTTGTACACAACCACAAAAATCAATATCAAACCCAACAAAATTAACAATGATTTCTTAAAATCAAATACCCAGTTTGTGTTCATTTTCTCAAGTTAATTCAAAAATGTCTTTTATAGTTGTTTGCTTGCATCAGGATCCAAACACCATGCATACATCATATAAGACTGATGTGTCTCATAAGGCCCTTTTCATTTAAAGCAGTCACCTTGCTTCCGTTTCCTGTGCCCCAACAGCCATATATCTTAAAGAAGCCATATATATTAAAGGTCACTTCTCCTAAGTATAGTCATTTGGCTTGATGAGATTCAGGTTCACTTTTAATTTGTCTTTCTTCCCCATATTTCTTGAATATTAATTAGATCAACAGGCCAGATTCAGGTTCACTTCTTTTAGGCAAAAATACTCCCTACCTAGGAGTTGCTAGTCCTCCCTAACCCATCACACTGGGAAGCACCTGTAATGTGGGTTATCCCACGATTAGCGATGTTAAGGTTGACTGGTTGGCTCAGGTGTGTCAGCCTGACCCAACCTTTACAAAGTTTACCTGGGGAACTTTAAAAAAAGGGAGGGGAAAGTTGCCTAAACTCTTAATTCAAAACTCCTGAATCGTAATCTCCTCCACCTGTGTGTTTAAAAGGCTCTCTGGAGCAGCGGTGGCCAACCTTTCGGACCTCACGAATCACCGTGGTCCAAGGACCACCAGCTGGCGACCACTGCTCTGGAGAGCCTCTGGATGGTAAAGGTGACTCTGATTCTCCGGCTCGTTGGAGCCTGGGGGAAAGGTAATCTAGCCCACCACGCCTTTCCTTTAAGCTGCTCTCAGGGACTGCTTCCAGGTACTTTCTGTCCTCATCTCTTTCCAATGAGTCAAGTAGTGAGGTCAGCAGAATTCACTAAGCTCTGCTGGGGAAGGAGCCCAGCCCAAGCGAAGGTGGCAAGATGGGAAGAGTCATCCAGACCAGCTATTCACAGGGGAGAGCCCTTTTGCAATTATTTCAGCGACTCTTCCCCACCTTGGGAGCTAGACTCAGCAGAGATCATAACCTCCATTTTGCAGATGAGGAAAGTAAAGTTTCAAGTTACACAGTTGGTAAGTGGCAGAGCCAGGTGTGAACCCAGGACTGAATTTTTAAAAATCGCTCCAGGTGGTTCTGCTGCAGGTGGTCCAAGGACCACACCTGAAAAAATATTGAACTTCTGGCACTGTCCTGTCCTGACTGCTGTCCCCGAGCCCTGTCAGACACAAAGCTTGCCCTCAAGAAGCTCACAGTCCGAGGATGAATGAGAGTGTGTGTTAGATACTATCATGTAGAATGGAAAGTGGTCAGTGCCATAGAGATAGTTCAGATAAACCACTGATGGAGTACAGAGGAGGCAGCATTCACTGCCAGTTGGAGAAATCAAGGAGGACTTCCTGGAAGAGAAAGGTTGAGCTGAACTTTGAAGAAATAAGGCTCTTCCAGGTGGAAGGGATAGCACTGGCAAAAGAATAGAGGCAAAGGGAAATTCTGTAAATGTTTGGGGGGTTGGAGGAATAAATCAGATGGAAATTGCCAAATTTGGAGGTCCTAAGAGAAGGAAATGAGGCACAGACAAGGTATATACTTGCTAAGAGGCCCGAGGCTTTGAGCTCCCAGCCCACAGGAATACTCCCTCTTGGGGATGCTGGTCCTCACACATAGCTCAATGTGACCTAGCTAATTAACAGTCATAGTTTTGTGACAGGAGCCTGTATGAGTGCTTTACACATTTTGCCTCATTAATCTTCACCTCAGTTCTTATGATGGAACCATTATTCCCTTCATTTTACAGAGAAAGAGATTTAACCTGTCACCCTGCTAGCACATGGCAGTGCTGGGATCCATGGCGGTCTGGCTCCCAGGAACTGCCATTAGGACCAGCGGAGTCTTCTCCATACCTCTGCTTTTCCATGGCACACGCTGCAGGGAGTTCTTCCGCTCCTGTCCCCTCTCCTTCCATCCTCCTCATGGCAGGTCTCTTTGGGCTTCTGTGCAGTAAGGTGCCAGTTCCCCAGTTCTCTGCCCTTTGGTCCCTGGGCCCTTTCCTTCAAGGACTTACTCCTGTTGTCTACAGAGACCCAAGCACAGAGGCACGCAGAGTGACAGACGCAGGCTAGGGACATAGGGTCAATCTGGCCAGGAGCATGGAGCCCTGCACCCTGGTCTCCAGCGCAGATCCTTGTGGACGGCCCCAGGAAGAGCCTGGTCAGGAGACAGCGGCCCGAACAGCTTGTCGCAGGTGGAAGAGCAGGCTAGGAGCAGAGCCAAGACTGGACCCCAGGAAGCAGCGCTGCCTTCCGCTCTTTGTTTGGGATGGAGCTCAGAGATGAGCTCACCCTTACCCGATGCCAGAGGGACCAGGACCTGAGGAAGGAACTGGGGGCGGCCTGGCCTCCTCGTGCCAGCTTGCCCTTCCCCAGCAGACGGCAGCCCCAGGCTCTTGGCCAACCTTGCACTGATCTTGCCCATGCCCCCTTTGCTGGGGGAAAAAAAAAAAAAAAAAGCAAAGCCTGGTGGTGTCAGCAGAGCAGCGGGCATGCACGTGCCTGGGTCCACCCCATGGGGTTTTTCTCTTTTCCCAAGCCTTCAGCCAGAAAGGCCAGAGACAATCCTCAACCCCATCTGACCCTCACAGGGCCCTCGGCTGCACCGGGGTAGGATATCTTTGCCAGTGGCACTGGGGCCAGAGTGGACACTATGTCTCCTGACAACCTTCTGGGCTCCTGGCAGCCTCCCTGTACTTTAAGGTGGCAGGAATGGACTGCCACGTGCCTCAAAGCTGGGCAGTAAGAGGCAGAGCTCAAGGGCATCCCAATGCCAGAGATCAAGGGAAGGAGGGCTCTGTAACTGGACAGGCAGGAGTCAGGACTGTTGAAACAATAGCCTGCCCAACTCTCAGCCCCTTGCATTTATTTCACAAAGTTAGGGTTTTTTTAATCCTCCCCCTCATCACCCCTACCCCAAATCAGGAGAGTTGGTTTTAAGGGGATCTGGTTGCTGGAACCCCAATGGCCTTGTGCTTCCCTCTGGTCAATGGGTTTATTCCAGGCACCAACCCCCCCCCTCCTAATATGTATGATAACAAGAGCAACTATGCCCTCACACAGCCCTGTAAGGTAGGATGATTTCCCCATTTATCAATGAGAAAGGAGGCTCAAGGGGCAGACCTTCTGGCCAAGTTCCCACAGCTGGTGGGGGTAGAGCTGGGTCTTAATGTGATCTGCTCCACTCAGAGGCATGTGCTCAAGACCACTGTGCCATGTGGCTGCCTCAGCTTCATACCCCATGCCCCACTTTCAGCACCCGGACCTTGTTTTTTCACTCAAATTCGAATCCCTAGCTTTGATTTCGATGGTATTATAGATCAGTTTAGATCTGTGGTCTTACTGGACTGAGAGCTGCCACAGGCCCAGAGCCCGGCCTGCCCCGGGGCTCCTGAAGCTGCCCTCCAACCTGCCGCCCCGGACTCCCCTCTGCCTGGCCCTTCTCATCTCCCCCCTGGGCCCTTGTACAGCTTCCGAACTGACCCCTCTGATCCCGCTGTCTCTGGTCTCACTGGCCTCTACACCTTCCTCCAACCACAGCCAGAGTGATGTCATTGTGTCACACCCCCCTCCTGCCTCAACCCCCCACTGGCCACGAAGCCGATCCAAATTCCTTCGCTGGCATCATAGCCGGCTGCGGCTGGCTGACCTCATCGCTCCCTGGCCCTCCCCTCGTGCTCTGTTCCAGAGCCAAGTGGAATGAAACTGCTTTTCCCTGGATCTTGTTTATAGCTTTCCCTCTGCCAGGAATGCCATCCCCACTCATCATTCTCTCCTGCCCCCTGAATCCATTCTCCTGACTAACTCCTTATCTTTCAACGCTCAACTTATGCTTCACCTTGATGAAGCTTCATGGAACTCCTTTCTTCACGTTTAAATGGCTCCTCCTTCTTGATATCCTCACTCAACCTGATAGACACCTATGAAAGCACCTGGAACACTAGTTTCACTTATTTTGTTTCTCCCTCCCTATCCCCCACTATGTCGAGCGTTCAGGGTGTGATCCAGTGTCCGGCACAGGGCCTAGTGCCAAGTCTATGGGTGTTTTCTTTCTTTCTTTTTTTTTTTTTTTTAAATATATTTTATTGATTTTGTACAGAGAGGAAGGGAGAGAGCTAGAGAGTTAGAAACATCGATGAGAGAGAGTCATCGATCAGCTGCCTCTTGCACACCCCCTACTGGGGATATGCCCGCAACCAAGGTACATGTCCTTGACTGGAATCAAACCCGGGACCTTTCAGTCCCCAAGCCGATGCTCTATCCATTGAGCCAAACCGGTTTCGGCTCTCTGGGTGCTTTCTAATCAAATGGATTGACAGTCTGATATCTAAGTGGGTGCCCTGGGCACCTCCCATCCCCCTCTCCACAGGGAATGACCTCTTCCTAGTGGCTGTGCACGAGCTGGGCCATGCACTGGGACTGGAGCACTCCAACGACCCCAGCGCCATCATGGCGCCCTTCTACCAGTACATGGAGACCCACAACTTCAAGCTGCCTCAGGATGATCTCCAGGGCATCCAGAAGATTTACGGTGTGTGGCAGGGGAGAGGGGCCACCACTTCTACCGCGGGGTTGGGCTGCGGCTGCCTGCCTGTCACAGGGAAGGGTGGGAGAGGGAAAGGGAGGAATGGGAGGGGAAGGGGAAGGGAAGGGGAGGAAAGGGAAGAGGGAGCACTGCCACCCATCCACATAGCTGCTGTGTCTCTGTGTGTCTGACCTTTAGAGACTGAAGATGTCTTGCTTATCCAGAGTGGGCACACCTCCCTCCCCACCCCCACCACCCATCCCCCTTGCCAGCACCCTGGGAAATAGGGGAGGGTATGCTCCTGGGAGGGACAAAAGTGAGTAGATGCCCACCTACTCTCTCTTCTCTCTTGCCCTGCCCCTCCACACACCTCCCTCTAGCCTCCTGAGGTTCACTTTCAAGGGGTCCCACCTCTAGCCAGGAGACCCACACAAGGAAGGCTAGGCAGGATCGCCAGAGGGTAAGCTGAAGAGGACTGGACAGGGGTGGTGGTAACTGGAAGGTATTTTGAAAATGGAATGGACAGGATTTGCTAATAGATGAGACATGGGGTGAGGAGGATGACAACAAGGTTTCTGGCTTTTGTAATTGTGGGGCCATGGGACTGACCAGTCAGTAGCTCACAGATCTGGGCTGGGATGTTGATTTGGAAATCTGGTGTCCAGTATAGCCACATGTGGCTATTGAAATTGAAATTTATCTTAATTAGAGTTACATAAAATAAAATTTCCAGTTCTTCTGTCACACTAACAACTAGTCACTCATTTCAAGTGTTCGGTAGCCAGGGGTGGCGAGAGGCTGCTGTACAGGACAGTGCAGACACAGAACATTTCTGTCATTCCAGGACATCCTATTGGATGGCTCTAAGAGAGCGTCTTTAAAGCTGTGAACTGGATGAGATCACTGAGAGTGATGGCTGCCCACTGGACTCACCTTCGGTTTTCAATACAAAATACCAATACCAGGCCCTCACTCCAGAGATTTGGTTTTAATTGGTCTGGGGTGCCTCCTGAGCATCAAGATTTTTTTTTAAACTCCCCAGGTGATCCTGTTACACAGTTCAAGTTGAGAAGTTCTGACCTAGGGACCAAAAGAGAGAGAGAGCGGGAGAGAGAGAAAGAGAGAGAGGGAAGGAGAGAGAGAGAGGGAGAGGGAGGGAGAGAGAGAGAGGGAGGGAGGGAGGGAGGGAGAGAGAGGGAGAGGGAGGGAGAGAAAGAGGGAAGGAGGGAGAGAGAAGGAGGGAGGGAGAAAAGGAGGACCCAGTGCTCCGCCATCTTTCAGTAGAGGGGAATGAGGAAAGGCTCTCGGTGAAGGAGGCTGAGAAGGCACAGCCTCGGGAAGGAGGGAGACCGGGAGGGCGCTGGGTTCCAGAAAAGAGTGTTTGAGGAAAGGGTTTCTATGATCTTGCTACTAGTGTGAGCCTCAGACAGCAACATGAGCGTCACCTGAGAGCTTAGAGAAATGCAGGATCGCAGGCCCCACCAGGTCCTCTGAGTCACAATCTGCATTTTATCAAGATCCCTGAAGAATACATATGCACCTCAAAGCCTGAGCCAAGCAACCATTGAATCTGGCAACACAGAGGCCGCTGGTGATCTCGCCAGGGCAGTGCAGTGGGAAACGGGGCACAGCCATACTGAATGGGGATAAAGGATGGAGGGGAGTGAGGAAGTGGGCCAGTGTGTGTGGAGGGGAGCAGAGAAAGAGGGTGTGGGACACTGAACCTGAGAAGGGGCTTGTTCTCTCACAAAAGGAGAGAAGAAGAACACACCAGATTTGAGAGTCTCATTTAATGGTTATTTTTTCACCTATTTTCTCAAAGATTGGGGAGAGAGTGCAGGAGGCCGGAGTGTGACTGGCCTGCCTCAGACTGCCTAGGTGATGGGGAGGCAGGGAATGGCCGGCCCCTTTCTAAGATGCAGCCCCTCTCTCCAGGACCCCCAGCCGAGCCCCTGGAGCCCACAAGGCCCCTCCCCACGCTCCCTGTCCGCAGGATCCATTCGCCGTCTGAGAGGAAGCACGAGCGCCAGCCCAGGCCTCCCAGGCCACCCCTCGGGGACAGACCGTCCACACCCGGTGCCAAGCCCAACATCTGTGATGGCAACTTCAACACAGTGGCTCTCTTCCGGGGCGAGATGTTTGTGTTCAAGGTAGGAGGCCCCGGCAACGGGCACCTTCCAGAGGTCCCCTTCCACGTCTCTCCCACCGTGGAGCGGGCTGCTGCTCTGGGATTCGGCCTGCTGGGGGCCTAACTGGGAGCTGGCCCAATGGCCAGGACACGGGGTCTCTTCCTGGTGCTGTGAGTGAATCAAGACGGGGAAGAGGAGGAAGTCGGTGACCCCAGGGTTATCTCTTGGAAGTGTTGGAGACTTGCTTCTTTTTAAAAAATATATTTTATTGATATTTTACAGAGAGGAGGAAGGGAGAGAGAGAGCTAGAAACGTCGATGAGAAAGAAACATTGCCAGCTGCCTCTTGCACACCCCCTACCAGGGATGTGCCCACAACCAATGTACATGCCCTTGACTGGAATCAAACCTGGGACCCTTCAGTCCGCAGACCGACGCTCTACCACTGAGCCAAACCGGTTTCAGCTGGAGACTTACTTCTGGTCTGTGATTAAGCAAGTCAACCGCCCTTCTCTGGACTTCAATTTCTCCATCTGAAAACTAGGGGTCATTCCCCTAACGAAGTGTGAAGGTTAAATAATGCGAGGCTATGAAGTAGGGGCTGGCACAGTGGTGGCTGTGTCTGCCTCTAGATCCTGCCAGGGCTGAGAGGCTGGCACTGAGGGGTGCCTGACAGGAAGCAAGCCAGGCTACAGCTTGTCACCTGTCTGGTCCTGTCACCTCAGCCAGGGCCTGACTGGTAGGGAAGCCTGCTTGCTGCGTTGCACTGGGCTCTAAGGGGAGCAGACGCTGGGATGGTGTTTGGAATGCAGGATTTTGAGGAGGGATCAGCATCTGTGGAAGGGAAGCAGGATTGGGCGGAAGATGATATGTATAAGCAGCCATGAAGGCCCATTGCAGACTCAGCCACCCTCACAGGGGGCTCTGGAGCTAGGTGGGCTGGTCAGAATTATTCCATCTCGGGCTCCCAATGGCTGAAACTTTGTACCCCCTGCCTCATTCAGTCACCGGGTAAGGGAGGATGTGACCTGGGAGGAACTCTCTGAAGCAGAGGCCATCCTGAGAGGCGGACAGTGGAAAACTGCCTGCTGACCACACTCCCAACCTCGGAGGCAGTGAGCCCTCCAACGAAGGGGTCCGGGCAGCATGTCTCCATCACACTCCCTCGTGGAGTTCTTCCCAGCAAGTTTTGAGCACTGAGCAAGAGCCAGGCACCTGGGTCAGCCTGCCTCTCACCGAGTGGCTCCAGAAACCCACTGGGCATTCCTTAAAACCCGTATATCTCATATCTACTTAACAAGTTGTGAAAGCCAAAATCACTGGATGTGAAAGTCCTTTGAAAAACCTTTTCTAGTTTTAAAAGAAAAACCTTTTCTTTTACTAATCACATTCATTTCTCTGTACTCTTGGATCCTCCAACCGAACGGTTCCTAGGCAAGTCTGGGTTTTACTATCCTCACTTACATGTCAGAAGACTGAGGTCCTGGCAGGTTGTAGACCGTGCCCAGTGTGCCTACCAGCCAGGGGCTGCAGCGAGGCAAGGCACCAGAATGAAGAGAAGGGCTTTTCTCACACTCTTGGCCTATTGATCTGCCACTTATTCAACATGGATCATGTGTCCCCTACCGTTCGAGGCACTTTGCCTATGTTCTCTCATCTGACCCCTCGTTATTCCCCCATCTGCAGCTGAGGCTCTGTAAGTGCGATGCCCAAGGTCATGCAGCTGTGAGTGGAGGAACCTGAATTCACACCCAGGTCTTGGGGGAATCCCCCCAAGCAAAAGAGGGCTTGCTTCCCAGAGTCCATGCCCTGCTGAATGGAGCAGCCACTTTTGAGGAGGGCACTCTGCCCAGGCTCAATGACTCAGGAGTGGCTCGGCCAATGTCAGTGACTCTCTGCTGCCCTCACGTGGCTACTCCAGGCCCTGGCATCATCCCTTCGGCTCCTCCACATCTCTTCCCCCCCGCATCAGACCTGTCGCCTCTATCTCAGGCCACACCTTTAAAGATGCTTACCTAAAGAGCTGATGAGCATCCTGTCTTCCCCACAGGACTTTGAAAATCAGAAGCAGTGAATGGACAGACTTGACAAAGGGTTTCAAGACTGGGCCCAGGGGAAAGTATCAGGTGGTTTGGGCCGAGCACCGGGTTCACAGGTTATGCTTCTTCCTCTCCTCTCCTTAACCCCTAGGACCGCTGGTTCTGGCGCCTGCGCAATAACCGGGTGCAGGAGGGTTACCCCATGCAGATCGAGCAGTTCTGGAAGGGCCTGCCTGCCCGCATAGATGCAGCCTATGAGAGGGCTGATGGGAGATTTGTCTTCTTCAAAGGTAACGTGGCCTGTGTCCTTGGGACCCCCTTTTTTCATCTGTGAAGTGCGGTGGGAGGCAGATGTACCCCAAGGGTCCTTCTAGCCCTAACAGAGACACTGACATTTGAAAAGATAGATCCTTCAGGCAGACAAGGCACAATTTGGGGAAATCAAGTCAAGGAGTGATTGTTAAGGGCCCATATGTATCAAAGTTGGTGGGTGACAAGCCTCAGCCACATATAGTAGAGGGTTGTGCAGGCCATTGAAGACCATCCGTGCTCCATGGAAGGCCACCCTATCAGTGACACAGAAGGAGGAGGCCACACAGCCCAGAGGCTGGAACAGTCAGGGAAGGGGGAGGGGGGCTAACATGTACAGATGCCACCCTGTGCCCTCCCCGAGCCCAGCCTGTGCTAGGTGGTTTCACTTCAGTTATCCTGACCTGGGTCAGGTAAGACACAGACAGTTAGTAAGAAGGAACGCATTCCAAGGGGGAAGGAACAGCATGGGCAAAGGAGTGTGGGGATGTGCACGTGTGGACATCGGAAAGCTGTGAGAAATGGCCTGGAAAGGTAGTTTTCTGGGGAGAGGTCTGAAGAGCCTTGTTTACCAGGCCAGAGCTTAATATCAATCTCTTAGGGCAACACTGGAAATTCACTGAATGTTTGTGAGCAACAGAGAACCAGGCACAGAGGCAGGAGGCCATTTCTGAAATGGTTGCTGGAGCTGAGGAGAGTGATGTCTGCAAGGCCCATAGCAGGGAGGTTAAAGACAGCTAGAGGAGGAGGAACGAGGGCCAGGACTCTGAGAAAGGTGGTGAGGGAGGGCACCCCCTGTGGTGGAGATGAGGAACTCTGGAAAGCCAATTTGGAAATGCCCGGAGGCAGATGGGCCATCAGGATACCCGGGTCTGGTGCTCAGTCCACTGAGAGAGTGGCTATGGGCTAGAGCCTCAGAGGTGAGTGTCATTGGTGGAAGGGGAGGGGAGAGGGAGTATCAAAGAACACTAGTGTCCACGAGTGGCTGAAATCACCCAGAAAGGAGAAAGGAACAGTCACAGAGGGTGAAACACAGAGCCTGAGATGCGTGGAGTGAGTTGTCCAGGATCTGCGATTGGCTTCTGGCCTCTTGCCCCCTACGGTTTGCCTGGGCCAAGAGGCCTCAGTCTTCCACTGAGGGTATCAAGCAGGCCTAGGGCTGTTTCCCTGCTCTACTCCGGCTCTATGAATGACTTCAGTCCCCGAAGAAGATGGGCAAGTGGCACTAGCACAACCTCCGGCACTGAGGGACCGGGGAAGGCTGATCCTGGGCTTCTCTTGGCCACAGGTGACAAGTACTGGGTGTTTAAGGAGGTGACGGTGGAGCCTGGGTACCCCCACAGCCTGGGGGAGCTGGGCAGCTGTCTGCCCCGAGAAGGCATTGACACGGCTCTGCGCTGGGAACCCGTGGGCAAGACCTATTTCTTCAAAGGCGAGCAGTACTGGCGCTACAGCGAGGAGCGGCGGGCCACGGACCCCGGCTACCCCAAGCCCATCACCGTGTGGAAGGGCATCCCACAGGCTCCCCAAGGGGCCTTCATCAGCAAGGAAGGCTGTATGTACGGGCCCGGCAGGGTGGGAGGGGTCCCAGCAAAGCCCTTGGGCACACTCTCGGGGTACCCTGGTCTGAGAAACACCGCCTGGGAGCAAAGACAACGGCCTCATAGCCACCCACGTTCACACAGTGAAATTCTCTTACCAGCTACCAAGTCACAATTTCTCATCTTCAGGGTTGATTCTCCATTGAGAGATGTTTCCATAGACTGACTTCATTCCTTCAAACAGCATTCCTCACGGGCTCAGGTGCACTCCAGGAGTTCCTTGAATTATCAAATCTGAAAAGCAATGATATGGTGGTTCCAAGGTGCCTTTTCCCAGGGTTTGAGGGCAGGGGGGTGGAGAGAGAGGCCTTCTTTATTTAGGAGACATTTTCCTAGCTCCCCCTAGAGGCCAGAGTAGGAGCTTCTCAAGAAGGGGCTGGGTCTTGTCAGGCACGGAGGAGGTATCCTAAATGTCTGTTGAATACATCTCCACTGATATGGTCAAAAGCACAGCCTGGCTGGTTTCATCTCCACCACTTACTATGAGTTTGGGCAAATCACTTTGTTCCTCAGTTTCCTCATCTATAAAACAGAGATAATAATGATACCTACCTCACAGGATTTTGTAAGGATTAAATAAATTATGTAGAGCACTTAGACCAATGCCTAGCACGTGGCCCATGCCATCTGCTTTAGCTGCTATCGTCCTCATTGTCATCTTGTTGATGTGTTTTCGTTTATATGGAATGACAGATTTTTCCACAATAATTACTTAGAACCAGGTTGTGTGGGAGGGCTGAAGATGGAGCAGAGAACAAGACTTGCATTGCATTCTGTCTCTCAGGCTAGGGGCCGAAAAATAAGATAGCAACCAATGCTGTAAGGGAAATAAATGCTGTGAGAAAGCAACTAGGCCGAGGGGGGCACTTTGGCCGTCATTGGGAAGGACTCTGAGGAGATACCGCTGGTAAGAAAGCCAACAGCCCCAGGGACAGAGCAGCTATCCGTGGCTCTCCTGTGTACTTAATGCCTTACACACGTGGTCTCGCTGTCTGGGAGCCTCAGAAACAGATGACATCAAAGACTTTGGCCAATGAAACGTCCCAGCCAGGGTGGGGTACCGGCCAATGAGAGTCTGAGTGCATTGCTTTGGATCTGAGGACTGGCTCACTGCTAAGGCTGTTGCTGGGAGCCTTTGGGTGTCTCTTCCCCCTACCCCCCAGGTTCGCTGCCTTCTTTACTTCCAGCCCCTCCCCTGGAAAGGTCCCAGAAAACTTGTAATCAGTGTTGCGAAGTGATGTGTGCCAAGCCCCCCCCCCCCCCAAAAAAAAAAAATCCATGATCATTGCCAAGAGGTGGTGTCTGCTGTCAAGAGGAAAAATCTTGCTCCCTCCCTCCCTTGGCCCAGGCAGGAGCTGGACTGAGACGCTAGAGCTATAGAGACTACGCTGTCCAAGCCCTAAGTTCGGGGTTTGATCTGACCCATGGGAGGGTGCCTGTGGGAACAGTGTGACAGATCTATGGCTCCAAGCTGAGAGGGGTCCAGTCTGGGAGGCACAGATTGAATTTACCAATTCGACTTAAAGCCCCTCGATGGCTCCCCAGAACCTTTGAGACTATGGGGTGGGCTGCTCCAGGTCCTGGGTGCTCCCTGCAGCCATGAAGGTGCTACTCCATGACCCAGACACGCTATTGGCAGGGTGTGCCAAGCACTGTGCTTCCCCACCTCCAAGTGTGCCAACACTCTGCTCCCACCACCTCACAAGCCCACCCCTCCCTCAGAGCTCCCAGGCGGGAGAGGTGCCCCTCCACACAGCCACACCACCTTCTGCCCTCACAGGCGGGCACAGGGACTTGTCTGGGAGTGGTGGTGACGCTGGGCTGTGTTTCTGCAGATTACACCTATTTCTACAAGGGCCGGGACTACTGGAAGTTCGACAACCAGAAGCTGAGCGTGGAGCCCGGCTACCCACGCAACATCTTGCGTGACTGGATGGGCTGCAACCAGAAAGAGGTGGAGCGGCGCAAGGAGCGGCGGCTGCCCCAGGACGACGTGGACATCATGGTGACCATCAACGACGTGCCAGGCTCCGTGAACGCGGTGGCCGTGGTGATCCCCTGCATCCTGTCCCTCTGCATCCTGGTGCTGGTCTACACCATCTTCCAGTTCAAGAACAAGGCAGGCCCTCAGCCTGTCACCTACTATAAGCGGCCAGTCCAGGAGTGGGTGTGAGCAGCGTAGAGCCCTCTCTGTCCACTCAGCCTGGCCAGCCGGGCCCTTCCTCACCAGGGCCTGAGGGGCAGCTCTGGTCACTGCCCACTGGAGCCAGCAGGGCCCTAGGGGTCATGTAGTTGAAGTGGTGGGCGCACTGGCCTAGGATGAACGTGGGGCAGGGAGTGATGGCAGCTGAGCCCCAGGGTGGGTGCCTGGCACCCAGATGCCAGCCTTCTGTCCTGGGTAAACTGCTCCCTACTCAAGGGAATAGGCCAGGCCCCATGCCAGGGGGAGGCCCTGTGGTCACTGCATCCTGTGGTGTCCGTGAGACGCCACAGCTTGGTTCCTGGCTGGACCCAGCACCTTCTGCGGGAAGCCGGCACTAGTGCTCTCAGTCCCATCTGGGAGAACCACCAGTCCTGGTCCCTCTTTGCCAACACCTGCTGGTCAGATGTCCCCCTCACCCCCACCCCACTGTTCTCCAAGGCTACAGGACCCCTGCTGCCAACAGTGGGCAACAAGACGGGTTTCCCCTGCTGGCGTGCAGCAGATCCCTCAGGAAACCTGCTCCACACACCGGGGTCTCCTCTGAGACCCAGGACTTAGGGTCACATGCTGCAGGCAGGGCTGTGGCCCGGCCGGGTCTCCCAAGGACCCAGCTGTCACATCTTGAACATTTAGATGTCCTGTCTCTACTGTTTAAAGTCCCATTCTGCAAAGGCTGCTGGAGGCTTTAGGTGAATTAGAGGTGACTGTCTTGGTGATGAGGCCAGGTGACAGGCCGTGCCCCAGGTGATAAGGACCAAGGTGCTGCTAAGGCCACTCTGACACCCAGACACCCCAGGAGCCAGGCCCTCCTCACGAGGCTGAAGCACTGGGGCAGGAGCCAACCCTGTTTCTGGAGGCTGATCTGAGTTTGTGACCATCCTCCACTCTCCTTACTCTCTCCCCATTCCCAGTCTCTAGCAGCACTCCAGCCTGTAGCCTGCGGCCCGGGGGCTCCGCCTGACCAGTTCTGTGAGGCAGAAATGGCTCCAGGCCAACATCCTCATGGCCCTGGGTAAGGGAGTCAGGGCAGCCTTCTCAAATGCTCCGAGCCCACGCCCCCCAACCACCCTGAGGCCCACTTGATTCCTCAGCCTGGAACCAGTGTTCATATCATGAGCTTGGCCCTTGCACCCAGCTCACGAGGCCATCTTCCTGCATTGCTCTTTGGGAAAGAGCAACACCAATGGGCAGTGGCCCCAAGCCGAGGGGCCCACCCTACACTGTCTCTGGCAGGAATTCCTAGGGCTCAGCTTGCCTCACTCCAACCCAGTGGAGGCAGCCCTGCTGATCACTGAGAAGCCCTGGGCAAGACCAATGGGTTCAGTGATGCCCGCTGGCTCTCTGCCAAATCCAGGAGGTGGTATCAGTCTTCAGGATGCTGCCACCCTGGCCCTCTGAGCCTACAAGGACCTGGCCCCCCTCCTGTGACCTCTGATCTTTGGGTCAGCTTAACCTGTAGGAGACAGGGACTTCTGTTGCCCTGGGCACTGTCTGAAGCAAAATCTCTTGTCCCAGAGGCACCTATTTGGCTCCACTGTGTTCCCTGTCATTATCCTTCCGGTTGTTTTTGTTTTGTTTTGTTTTGATTTGATTTTGGCCAAGGGCGGGCTCCCTGGGGCGGGTGGGGAACAACTGCGGAGATCTTAGTGATTCATAAGTTTGTATACTGTTTTATACTTTGCAAAGCACTTTATTAGCTCACACCTGTCCACTCACATGAAACTAGTGTAGGCCCTGGGAGGCCAAGGTAATTTTCATCACGCCCTCAAATGAAGCACAGAGAGGTTGTTACACGCCCAGGCAATCCAGTGGTCTCCACCTGTGGAGGTCCACGATGAGGTCAGCAGTGTCTCTTTATCCATCTTTTCCTGGCCTCCCTTCTCCCCGTCCTGGCCCCCCTCCACTCCTCAGGTTGGTGCTCTCACTTCTTGAACGCTCTAGGCCCCACAGGCTCCCGTTGGCTCCTAGTGCTACCGCGGTCAGCTGAGAAAGAGCAGGAGATGGAGGCAGGCAGCCCAGGCTGCAAATGTGAGGGATGCAAGGCTAGACCCAGAGAGGGCTCAGCCTGGAGGCTTCCAAACTCGGATTATCCTGCCTTGTGATCATCTGTCCATCACCCCAGGACAGAACAGACAGAGGGGCAAAGCAACCGGGGGGGGCCCCAGAGCCTAGCTTCCCCTCGGCCTGGGGAACATCACAGCATTTCAGTGTCAGTCACATTTTAAACTGATCAGCCTTTGTATGATGTTTTTTAAATCATTTCTAAATAAAACAAAAATACAGAGTCTGTCATTTCCCTTGGATGTGGGAAAGAGGAACAGGTTCTGAGGGTAGCCTAAGAAGCTTCTGGGAGAAGGGAAACAGGGTACTTTGGGGTGTCCGGGAACTGCCCTCCCCACTCATCTATCTCATCGGCAAGCCCAGCAATCACACATCCCCTCTCCGAGAGGCCCAGTGTAACTAGGGTCCAGAAATGCAGCCTGATAAGGCCTCCCTGGGATCCAGGCTGGAGGAGCAACCTCCCCTAGGACTTCAGGAAGTCACTGCAGCAAGGTCTTCTCTGAAGTCAAGGCACATCGTGCAATGACCACGAACAAAAGCAGGAGCTGAGTTCTCGGCAATAAGGAACAAGTGAGGTGAGGTGAGTAGCTTTAGGGTCTTACCAAGAACCCTAGCCTGGTCTTGACTGAGCCAGGACCCAGATGGCTGGCGCTGTAGGGAGCGGGTGAGCAGGAAAGCTGAGGTGGTTTGGATGTAGGGTGGGGAGCGAACAATTTCGAGGTGTCCCAAGGCGCAGCTGTGGAGGCAGCTCTGCCGGGACTGCCTTCCAGGCCCCTCGACCTCTTCAATCCTCGTCTCTGGGGCGCCGGAGGGGCTGGGGCGTGGGGGCGGGAGGGAATAGGCTGAGACATCGGGCGGTGGGGACAGACCACAGAGCCGGACAGGCGAGGCGAACAGAACCGGCGGTGAGCGGTGACTCGGGGGGAAGTCAGTACCAGGAGGTGCAGGCGATGAGGAAGCGCACGTCGTCCAGGGGCCCCCAGGGGCTGGGCTCGGGCCCAGGCCGCTCCGGACCCTCGGGCGCCGCGGGCTGGGGCTGGGGCTGGGGCTGGGGCTGCGCCGGCCCCGCGGCGCCCTCGCCGCCGCTCAGCTGAGCGCCCATGGTCTGCAGGAGCACAAGTCCGTCAGGTGCGTGGCCAGCCCACGGCCCCTTCCCTGCCCGCGCAGGCCCTCACCTCGCGGCGGGAGCGGCGGGTCGGACAATCCCAGCGCAGCCTCCAGGCTCCGCTCGTCTGCGCAGCTGCGCGGGAGGAGCTGCCGCCGTGACGACACCCCCTCGCCCTCCGGAGCGGAGTTTCTGGCCCCGGGGGCGGGGCCCAGCTCGACCCCACCCACCAGCGCCCAGTCAATCCCGTCTCACCCTGCGGGGACACGCCCCGCGGAGCCCGGAGCCCAATAGAAGGCCCACCCAAGCTCAGGAGCCCGGAGGTCCAGGCGGCCAGGGCCCCCGGCGGCCAGGCCAGCGACCTCCAACTTCGTTGGGCCCAAGAGGGCAAGACTGCCCTCTAGTCAGGTGCCCAGAGGCTTACACAGGGTTCTGCCCCAGGGACCTGACACCAGCCCAGGGGAGGAGTTAACTTTCATGAGTATGAGGCCGCAGTGAGAGGAAAATGTGAGAACCACAGTGTGGGCTGAGAGAATATGTGTGATGGGTACCCGCCCGCGCATCTCCCCCCACCTTTCCCCGGGAATAATGGTGGGGAAGCCGGCAGACAACACATTCAGCATGATCAGAAGCAGCTGCCTTTAATTGGCTGGCACAGGACACAGAGCTCTCAGCTAGGAGCCATAAGGCCTGGCAGCTAGTACATGGTAGATTTTTGCAGTAACTAGAGTCAGGAGATGGGCACTGGTGAAGAAGGGTTGGGCATCCAGCCACTTGATACCAATGAGCTCTCTGCCACCACCCTGCCAGCATCCGGGACACAATGGGTGGGACGTTGAGACGGAGCCAAAGTTCAGAGCCGGGAGCCAATAAAACGGCATGCAAGGTGATTCAGGTAAGGCTAGAGAGAGAGAGGAAGGAGCATTGTCAGCAGGTGCTTCACAGAGCACACCTCACCCTCCATTCTCAAGGTGCTTACCTCCAACCTCACCCCAGACCCTTTGTTCCAACTTAGGCCTGAAGAACCATATTCAAAGCCCCTTCCAGATTCCATTGGTCCCCATGAGTTAAAATCCAGTGTAGAATTCCCAATGCTTAGAAAGTAAAAGTAACTCCTTCCCTATTCAGATGAGTCAACTCAATAATTTATTCAGCACAGCCGGCCTGGCTCAGTGGTTGAGTGTGACTTAGGAACCAAGAGGTCACTGGTTCAATTCCCTGTCAGGGCACATGCCCAGATTGCGGGCTAGATCCCCAGAGTGGGGTGTGTGGCAGCTGATCAGTGATTCTCTCTCATCATTGTTTCCCTCCCTTTCTGAAATAAATGAAAATGTTTTAAAAATAAAAATAAAAAATAATTTATTCAAACTGTTGGTGGTATTAGGTTGGATCCTCAAGGGTCAAGTCCAACAGACATGAAAGGAACAAGGGGCTCGGACAGGGGAAGGAATGTGCCTAAGCCACAAAACCCCAGTGGCAGGGCTCAGGCCAGACTTTCTTCCTGCGAGTGATAATCATGTGCACGATTATAAAAATGAAGCACATATTTCTCTTGGCCTGACACCTCACAGGCACCTCAAATTCAATGAGGTCAAAACAAAAGGAGAATAATGAGTTTTGTCTCTTCTGTCCAAAACCCATTTCTTTTTCTTATCAAACTGCAATGCTGACCAGTGTTGCTGACTACATGACTGTAATGACAATTTCTGAAGTTTCATCATTAAATGCAACATTTGCTATAGTTTTTCAGTAAGTACCAATAATCAGGTTATAGCAATTTCTGTTCTTAGGTTACTAAGAGGGATTTTTGTTGTTGTTGTTCTTTAGTTAAATGATTAATAGTGTAAGTATTGACTTTTTCTTATGGGAGTCTATGTTTCAAAAGGGCAGGGAGGGTATACTTTATCATCACATCACTATTGTCTGGCACATAACATTAAAAAAGTTGTTTAACAAATGACAAAATCAGACCCTTTCCGCTGCTCTCTAGGGCTGACAGCTATTCAGTTATTTGGTCGTCCCTCACTAACCCCCTGCTGGCCTTGTCGCCCCACACAGCCTGTGTTGGTCATCTGTCCGGTTGTTTCGGTCATGACAGCCCCTGGCTTTTTTTTATATATTAGGATAATATTGTAATAACTATGTACCAGTCCTACAGGGGGATCACTTCCTTAAGTTATATAAATGTCTAACCACTATGTTGTATATACCTAAAACTAATGTAATATTGAGTGTCAACTATAATTGGGAGGAGAAATAAGACTTGACATGGACATTCAGAGTCCCCGACACTCTGGGAATGAGTTTTCCCCTTCACACCCTGCGTCTGTGTGTCTGTTTAGTGTGCTTCCCCACTCTATCTATGCATATCCAATTACCTACGCATTTCTTAAAGCCCAGACTAAATGCACTATTCTTTCTGGATCCCAAAACTAGTTTCACCAGAGCTTGCCAAGCCACTTAAGGCACCTTTTGTTTCTTTTTTAAAGATAGCTAAGAGTTATGTGTGGCCACAACAACTTTTCTCGCCTGCTACACTGTGAGCCCCTCAGAGGCAGAAGTAGCACTAAGTTGCCTATCCCACATGAAGCTTTGTCTTTAGGGCTCAGTGAACATCAGGCGAATGAATAAATGAAGAAGGGAGAAGGAAGGGAAATATTGCCTGTTGCCAGTGCTATTGCTGGGCACTCGCTCCACTTTTCAGTTTCTATTCTGCATGGATATTAGGGGCGGTGCTAGTTGGTGTAGTATATCCTGGGAAGGATCCTCAATGGGGAACACAGAGAAGGAGCCCGAATATCCAAAGAAAGAAGAGATTTTAGAGATTCACACCCCTGAATCTCCAGGGCTGAGGCCCATGAACCCACTTAAAAAACAAACACCCAGGTGATTGTGCTTGTGATGCAATCCCCACCCCCAAGTCCACTGGGCACCCAAAGGCTCTCCGGTTCCTGCAGGCAGCCTCCCCTCCTTCCCTCAGTGAACAGGTCTGTTCTGTATAGTCTGCTAGCTGGGGCACTGACACACAGGCAGATACAAACTGCAGGTAGTAAGTGATAAAATCAGACAGACCAGAGGGAAGCTGTGCCCAGAGAAGAGATACACTGAACCAAGTCTTCAAAGACAGGGATGAGCAGATACTCAGGCAATGCTTGCAGCTGTACCCTATGACAGCCCGGCATTGTGCAAGTGTGCCCTCACACACCAGAAGAACCTTCGGGAATGAATACAGTGTGGCTCCCATTATAAGTAATCTCCTTCCCCTCCCCTCAAAAGGCAGACGAGAAGTCCAGGTACCTGTCAATGAGTGAATCCCGCATGCTGGTGGCAATGGTGCTAGGCTGGGCTTCGTTCAGCTTGAAGACACTCTCCACCACTGAGAGCTCTGTGCTGGTTGTGTCCAGGCCACAGAAGGCACACCAGTCGTTCACCACCATCCCAGCAGCGATGACCTCGCTGCCCCGGTTCACAGTGCCCGCCTGTCAGGTGATAGCTCAATATGGATCATAGCATCAACAATCAGATTCTCCCATCCCTGATGAGAACTCCCCCCAAGCCCTGCTCCCTGACCTGCAGCCCAATCCCAACCTATGAATAAGCCCCATAACGCAGGACAAAGGGATCTGCTTCAGCAGGAGACAGAGAACAAGAATGCTTACCACAAGGGGGACCTGAAGGAGAGAGGACAGTTCATCCTGATCTTCAATTGAAGTCTTGGGATGCACCAGCCCTCCCTGATTGCTGAAGACACAGTAGCTTCCTACTAGCACCTGGTCAGCCACCGTCTGCCTGAAGACTTCCACCTTGAGCACGTCAGCCAGGATTTCTTCTGTCTCCTGTCAGCCAGAGGTACTGTGCTCAGCACCCAGGGCTTGCAAGTCAAAGAATCCAGGGCCCTCCATGCCAAGAGGGCTTGACGCCCTAAACCTCTCATTCCTCTCCTACATAGCTGCATATGGAAGCCTGATCCAGAAAAAGGAGGGGATACAGCTTGGAGCAGAGCTGAGGCCAGCTATGGAGCCCCTAGTATCCATGCAAGCTCTGAGCCAGGGACTGGTCTCCACACCACCCTTTAATGCACACTCAAGGTTCAAGTGTCAATCATCTATCTGGGCCCTGGCTGGTTCCTGATTCTGAAGAATACCCTTTCCAGCTTCTTTCTCATACTGACCGCACCATGGAAGGTCTGTTATCACTATTTCAACGAGTAACTGGAATGTGAGAGCACAGGTATAAAAAGAAACCGTAAGAGATACCCCTAATTCCTGCCTGATAGGTAGGAAAAGTGACTAACCATTTACTAGGCTAGTAATGTGACCCTTGGGCCAAGCTAGGCTGCCTTACCCTGTCCAGATCTGGGTGGACCAAGGCCACATAGTCATTGCAGGTGGTGACATTGCCCAGGGCTGAGAGCCGCTCCTCTACCCGCCGGATCTGCACTGAGTCTGGGAGGCAGTTTCTAATATGTTGTAGCTCCTGGTCAGTAGTGTTGTTGGGCACCAGGAGACCGTGCCTGTTCCCTGGAAAGATCCAATTGGGGGTGGAACAAGGAAGGACCATGAATACACAGATACCTGCTGAGTCCTGAAGCTGAGGATACGACCCAGCCCAATTAGCTTTCCCAGGAAAGCTTTAGACCAAAAGTCGGCAAACTTCGGCTGGCTCGCAAGCCACATGTGGCTCTTTGGCCCCTTGAGTGTGGCTCTTCCACAAAATACCATAGCCTGGGCAAATCTATTTTGAAGAAGTGGCATTAGAAGAAGTTTAAAAAATTTGGATCTCAAAAGAAATTTCAATCATTGTACTGTTGATATTTAGTTCTGTTGACTAATGAGTTTGCCGACCACTGCTTTAGGCCAACTCCAGCCCTCTAAACAATTGATCCATATAACACTAAGGGAGACCAGGAGTCCTACAGGGCAGGCCCGAGATACCCTAGAAGTCTGTCCCCACACACACTACCTACTTTGACAACACCAACCAGGGGAACCTGGACTAGCAGGAAGTGCTCGGCATTAGTTATATACTTTGAAACTTAAAAGATAACACCACACACCTACTAGAATGGCTAAAATTTTCAAAAGAACATCAATACCAAGAGTTGAGTTACTCCATATATTTGAGCAACCAATAAGAGTGTAAATTGTTTAACCACTTCTGATAATTACCTGGCATCATAGACTACACTGAATATTTTTAAAATATCTATACCTTTTTTACAGAGAGGAAGGGAGAGAAACATCGATGAGAGAGAAACATTGATCAGCTGCCTTCTGCACACACCTTACTAGGGATGTGCCCGCAACCAAGGTACATGCCCTTGACCAGAATTGAACCTGGGACCCTTGAGTCCGCAGGTCAATGCACTATCCACTGAGCCAAACTGGTTAGGGCAATTACACTGAATATTCACATACCCTGTGACCTAGCCATTTTCTCCTAGGTATTATATAATCAATACATGTATTCACTAAAAGATATTGCAACACGATGCATAATAGACCGAAAACTACCCAAATGCCCACTGTCAGAGAATGGATAAATACATTGTGATATACTTACATAAAACATACTACCCAGAAATGAGAATGAACAAACTACAATTATGTTGTGACAACAATGTCTAAACCTCTGCCTCCCTCTACAATTCTGTGAACTTTTTAACTGTTATTACCATCATAATATAAAATAAAACAGCAATGGTCAGGCTAAATTCTCCCTAGTTACATCAGAACTTCAAGTTCTGGCCCTAACTGGTTTTGCTCAGTGGATAGAGCGTCGGCCTGTGGACTCAAAGGTCCCAGGTTCAATTCTGGTCAAGGGCATGTACTTCAGTTGTGGGCACATCCCCAGCAGGGAGCGAGCAGGAGGCAGCTGAACGATGTTTCTCTCTCATCAATGTGTCTAACTTTCTATCCCTCTCCCTTCCTCTCTGTAAAAAAATCAATAAAATATGTGTGTTTTTTAAAAAAAACAAACAAACTTCAAGTTCTAAAGTCATGGTTAGGAATAATAGTGTTTCGCCTTAATAAGAAATTACTGCCCTGGCCATTGTAGCTTAGTTGGCTAGTGTCATGTTGTAAAATCAAAAGGTTGTGGGGTTGATTCCTAATTAGGACACATGGCCAGGTTGCAGATTCAATCCCCAGTCAGAGTGGATGTAGGAGGCAACTAATTGATGTTTCTCTCTCTCTCTCTCTCTCAAAAAGAAAATACTCCAAGGCTAACATCATCAGGATTATGATTTTAAAAAATTAAAGGAACAAACTCCTCTATGAGCAGAACTAGACATAAGGGGTGGCAGTAAACGGAGGTTCAGCTCAAAGAGAATCAGTGATGCGGAGAGGTAGGATAGGGACGCCACTGAGAGACATGGGGATTAAAGATTTACATAACTGAACAGGTCGATCCAGAATCTTAGCTTGAAGAAAAAGCAATGGGCACAGAGTCCGTGACAGGGAAGAAAGGGCATTCTAACCTTGCCTCACACTAGGTGTGGCACCTGGTGAGTCACTTCGGTTCTGCAAGTCTCAGCCAGTAATTCCTACCTCCCAGGGTCTTCGTGAAGAAGGCATGCAAACAAGTGTAAGAGTGAAAACATGTAATGTTACTTGTTGTTATAATGATCCAGAGGCCTTCTCCGGGGGTGAACCCTGGCCTCAGAGTCTATAACGGAGGAATGCCTGGAAATCCCTGGGTCACCCGGGGACATAATTAAAGGTGCTGGCGCCCCCCCCCCCCCACGGCGTCTTCCCCGGCTTACCCACACACATCCGCCCGATGATGCGGCAGCCGGCGATGGACGCGTGCACCACAGGGATGGTCTCGGCGAGCTCGCCCTCGAACACGCTGTGGGAACACGAACTCGGCGGTCACGGGCCCGAGCCCTCGCCAGCCAGCACCCTGCCCGCCGCCCGGCCACACACGCCAGCGGGCTCCCCCGCACCTGTAGAAGTTCTCCGAGCCTCCGATGGCCACCAGGCAGTAGGTGTTGGTGAGTTTGGCAAAGCAGCCGATCTCACAGTTGTTCTCGAACGACGCGCGAACCGCCATGAGGCCTGGGGGCAGCGGGCCGGGAGTTCAGGGCCGGCGGGTCTCCTGGTCCCCGGGGTGGCCCTTCGGGACCCGCCGCGACCCCACCCCTCAGGGCCCCACCCCCCCGGCCCCTCAGGCACCCGGTCCCGCCCTCTGGCCGCTCCGAACCCCCTCGCCACCCTCACCCCGTGACCCGGGAGCCCGCGCTGACCCTTCACACGGACTCAGCAGGTAGCCAGAAACTCAACACGCTCCCGGGGGGCCTTCTTTGCCCCAAGTAGGCTTCCGCTTCCGCCTCCGCCTAGGAGACTTCCGGGAGAGCCGGGCCACTCTAGCTCCACCTTCTGGATGCACTTTATGGTTTCAAGCCTCCGGTTGTGACGTCACCTCGCCCCGCCCCCAGCATGCTCACACTCATGCATTCATTTATTCGTCATTCATTCCTTTAGGAACTTTTTTTTTTTTTTAATGTCTGCTTTTATTGTTGAAAGTATTACAGATATCCTCTTCCCCCACATTGACCAGGAACTTTTAAAAAATATATATTTTATTGATTTTTTTACAGAGAGGGAGAGAGCTAGAAACATTGATCAGCCGCCTCCTGAACACTCCCCACTGGGGATGTGCCTGCAACCAAGGCACATGCCCCCGACCAGAATCGAACCTGGGACCTTTGAGTTCACAGGCCGATGCTCTATCCACTGAGCCAAACTGGCCAGGGCTACCAGGAACTTTTTAGGAGGCACAATTGACCAACACTTGTGGCTGGTTGGATGTGAGGCATACAAGAGGAGCCAGGGATGTCTCACAGATGAGTTGATGATGGAGGAATTTACTGAAATAAAGCCTGAAGAGGAAGAGCAGGTGTGGGGAAGGTGGCATATTGAAAGTGAGGTCTGAGACAGACGTGGCGGGACCTGGAGCCCAGGGGAGAGTGAGGCGCCGAAATTTGGGGCTGAAGCCTGGGGTGGATGAGGTCACCCAGGGGTGAGAAGTGAGAGCAGGACAGAGGCTGGAGAAAGCAGTCAGAGAAGTAGAGGAATCCAGGCTGAAGAAGGTAGTGGGGAGAGGAGAGGATGGAAGAAGCAGAGTCTTAGGGAGGGTGCAGGGTAGGAAAGGGTGTGGGGCTGACTGGCTCCCACCATATGCCCCTTGCATGTGCTTCATCGCTCACTGGGCAGCCACTTCCTGTCCCTTGGCTAGGTGGTGCTGATCAAGCGACTTGCACTCGTGGACAGGATATACTTGGCCCACATTTTGTAGCATCTACCAAAACCACGAGAGCCCTCAGAATGTTACAGTGAGGGCAGAGGGTGTGTGGAGCCCTTTTCCTCCCCTCTGCCCTCCCGCGGCCACACACCCTCACTCCTCCAGAGAGCCCTCCGTAATTGCACTAAATGGTGCCCTTTCCCTGGCCCCAAGGCACAGTTCCATGACACCACCTTCCTAGGAACACACCAAGCTGCTGCTGGGTCGGTCACAACATGTCTCCTTTTATTGATCTGCATCATATATAACACTGTCCCAGGCAGGTGGTGAGCTCAGGAAAAGGACCCGTAACTTGTCAGAGCCTGTGCTTCTAGGAACACTCAGTAAAATGTGTGTGGGTGTGTGTGCATGTGTGCTGTTGTACATCCTCTTCAGCTTCTCCAGTTGTCTCAGAGCCACTCCCTCAATGCCCTCCCTGATAGCTCTTCGCCTGGCTCACTCTACCAGGAATTCCTCTAACCCTCGTCATCTGTCCAAATCCTCCTCATCCTTCAAGGCCTCGCTCAAGGCTGCCTCCTCTAAGAAATTTTCCTCCCCACTCTACCATCTCTGCCCTGATCTCTGCCCTTCATTCTCTACCAACCTCTTTCATCGGTTTGCCTTTAATTAGACACAGCCTTGTCTTGCTGGCCAGTGGTTTAGGCATTTAATCCTAATTCATTTGTAAGCCCTAAAGCATGCCCAGCAGGGCTGGATACAAAGTTTAGGTACAAGAAAATACTGGCTGGTGCATGTTCTGGGGTGTGTGTGTGTGTGTGTGTGTGTGTGTGGTGTGTGTTTATGTATATATTTATGGTCTGTGGATCCTGAGGGGTCTACAATGTGACCGAATGCATATATTGTTTATGTAACCATTCATTTAGTCAAATGACATTTATTGTGCTTATGGGTGTGCAGCCTGTGGGTGTGAACCCTGTTAGTGTGCTAGGTATGTTGTGAAGGCATTTGGGGCATCGCTGTGGTGTGTATATTTAGTATGCCTGGGCACATATGAATTGTTGATATTGTGGGTTGTATCTGTGCAAAAAACACAATCATAAGAGTAAAAGACACAGATTTGGGTCTCTTTTCTGCCACTTACTTAGACCTGATTTTAAGCAAGTCACCAATTCCATATTTATAAAATAGGAAAGATTAACACTTATGATCCTAGGATTGTTTATCTACTAGAGGTCTATCTTGCAGAAAGTGAAGACGAAGGAAGAGACATAATTGGTGTGAAGTGCCTAGCACAGTGGCAAATAACATTAACTGAGGTTCCATTTCCGTGTGTGTGTGTGTGTGTGTGTGTGTGTGTGTGTAAGCAAGAACCCTGAGCACAGGGAGTGTCTAACCTGGGCTTCTAGACATCCTTTCCTCCCCATGCAGCCTATGCCCAAGCTTCTACCCAGAGTCTAGAACCTAACCAAATCTAGTCTCAGCAGGTGTAGGAGGGCTATGTCCCTGCTGGGAGCAAGGCTATGACTCAAAGCGGCTTCGGAGCAGCTTGAACTTGGACTTGTTTAACTTAGTAATGAGGTCCAGTTTGCTGTGGCCCAGGGTCAGCCGTTTCTCATCCCCAAATGTGCCATTGCTACTGCCATTGCAGTGGTCCCCTTTGGTTCTCCCAGGGAGGCCATGCTCAGGCCCCTGCCTGGCACCCTGCAGTTGATGATACTTGGTGATGAGGTCCAGCTTGCTGTGGCCCAGAGTCAGCCGCTTCTCATCCGCAGAGCCCACTCCAGGCTTGCGAGCAGGGCTCGGTCTAGGGAGACTATTGGGCCCAGGCCCCTCACCCCGGAATGGGCCAAACTTTGTGATGAGGTCCAGCTGGCTGTGGCCCAGGGTCTGCCGTCGCTCATCTCGACCCTGCTTGCCAGCCCTGGCTGAGGAGTTGGCTTCAGGGGGCACTCTGGAGCCCCCAGTCTTAGGGTACTGTGCCAGGAGGTCCAGTTGGCCATGGCTGTGGTTTGGAGGCAGCCTCTTATCCTCTGGGTTCCCATTGCCAGGTCTGGGGGAGCCTGACGCAGGGGTACCCCCAGCACCTTGGGCCTGGGGCAGGAGATCCAGCTGGTTGTATCTCTGGTTTGGGGATAACCTCCTGTCCTTTTGGGCCTGCTCACCAGGCCACAGGGAGTCTGAGTTGGAGGTAACACCAGAATCAGGGCGTCTTGCTTCTCGAGCTCTGGGAAAGGGGATGAGATCCAGCTGGCCATGGCTCTGACTCAGAGACTTCTTCTCCTCCACCGTCTCCAGGACTGAGCCAGGTACCCAGCGGCCTCGTGGGGGGCAAGGCTCCTGGCTTCCTGGAAGCTCATTCTCTGGGAGCCTAGACAGGGCTGGGGCACCTCGGGAGAAGGGGAGGAGGGAGCGTGGGCGAGTAAGCAGAGGGGACCCCACTGCCAGGGTCAAGGGGCTGGTGCTAGTGTGGTTGAGGGCAGGGGAGGACTGGGACCACGGGGACGCCCCCATCTTGCCCAGGTTGGCCCTGTAGGGCCCGGGGGGTGAGACATGGTTAGGATCTGACAGCTGGCGTTGTAGGGAGGACTGGCCACTGGCTTTGCGACACGTGGGGCCTGGGGATGAGGACCCCATTCCCGCGTCACTGCAGCCACCGCCTCCTGGCAGAGCGAGGTAGGAGGAGCGGCCCATGAGAGGGGAATGCTTGATGCTGCTGAGGCTGGTGCTGGAGGGCGATGAGGACCTGCGGCTCGGGATGCTGGGCCCGAGGGCCAGGGCCATCAGAGGAGGGCGGGGTGCCCTGGGGTCCTCGCCGCCGCAGAAGCCCTCCACAGGCCGGGACTCGGCGTACAGACAGCGGAACTCCCGGTCGAAGTCCTCCACGATGCGGCCCCTCAGCTGCAGCACCATGCTGGTGTGGGCCTGGCTGCAGAGCCAGGTGAAGCTGGGGGCAGAGTGTCAGGGTCAGGAGGCAAAGGGCAGGGCCCTGGGCCGGGGCAGGACTCACGGCAAAAGACAACCCCACCGCCACCAGGGGCCACGTGAGGGGGCGGAGCTCTGACTCCGGAGTCTGTACGGGTCCTAGCCCGGTGTGGTGACGCAGGCACGTGGTTTCCCGCCCCGGGGCCTCAGCTTGCCCATCCACAGAATGGACTCGGGGCAAGGTTCTCTGAAGCCCCTCCAGTTTCAAGGTAAAATAGTTATTTTCTATGCCAATAGCTTTAAGGTAATCCGTCCACATAGGAACCACCTCCGGGGCCCAGCCTGGGGTTGTTTCACCCCCCACACCGTCTCCTGAGCCCTGCATAGTGCCTGGCAGGGGGCAGCTGCTCGGCCCATGTTGGAAGAGATGGGTGAGTGAGTGAAAAGTCAAAGCTGCCAGATCCCAGGAGCCCTTGCCAGCCGGCGGCTCAGCCCCAGGCCCTCTGCCTCCGTCCCGCTGGCTCACCTGTAGCTGCCCGCCACCACCTGCTCACAGTCGATGATGACAAACTTCTCCAGGGCCTGCCCCGTGAAGCGGCGGCCCGCCTTGCTGCAGTACGTGTCCCCACACGTGCTCCGAACACGCATGTTCTGAACCAAGGAGGGATGAAGGTTGCGGGGGGGTGATCTTGAGAGAATGGGACTTGTGTCCAAATCCCATGGGGTCCCTGACCTTAAACAGCTAAGGGAAGCCAGCCCCCACTCCCATTGACCCATCCCCAATGCTCACCAACCACCCGTGTGACTCTTCTGCCCTCCCTGACTCCCCACCCCACCCCGGTCCCTCACTGACCGGCAGGTGTCCCCCGTTGAGGTCCATCTTATAGCACATCTCCAGAAAGTGGCTCAGGTGCTCCTGGGCCAGGAGCAGGTAGACAGGGACACCACGCCGACCGGAGGCCTCCATGAGGTCACACAGGAGCTCCATGTCTGTGAATATGTCCATCACCACAGCCACCACCTGGAGGAGGAAGGGGATGCTCAGCCTTCCCAGTGCCTGGGGTCCCAGGACGAGAGTGCTGGGTGGAAACGCAGGAGGCCAGACCCTGCAAGAAAACCTGAACTGAAAGGGCTTTTAGCCATGGCCTAGCCCAGTGGGTCTTAACTTGGACACAGGAAGCTTTCGCTCTCTTAAACCCCAAGATGTCGTATAAAGGATTTTGGGTGCATTTTTTTTTTTCTGAGGACAGAATGTGTATCTGTCATCAGATTCTCAAAGATGTCTGTGGATCAGCTGCACCAGTCTATAGCTTCTCTCCGCATATGGGGAGACTGAGGCCCAGAAGGGAGGAGTCAGAAGCAGAAGCCAGACCCCAGTTCCCAGTCTGGGTGCTCTCTCTCCACTAGCTCCATCCCTACCTCTGGCCCAGGGACTGTGTCTGAGGTTCCCTTCTCAAGGATCAGAGCTTCAAGCCGCGCACTGGGGCCTTTGCCAGACCTGCCTCAGTTTCCCTATAAAGCTACAGAGGTCTGTATGGATTCCCTCTCTTCCACCCACGCCCAGTGGGACCAGGTTTTCTCCTCCGCTGAGGGGCTGGGGCTTGCAGCCTCTCTCATACGATGGCTGCATCAGAGAAGCCCTGGATAATCCCCGGTGCCACCAAACCCCCAACTGTCCCTCCCTCCCCCTCCCATTTCATGTATCTGCTACGAGAACCTCGTCTCCCAACCCAGGCCCAGAGCAAAGCATTCCAGCTGGAGCCACACAGAACTGGGTTCCTACCTGCATTCTGTTACCTCCCAGTCATAGGGCCCTGGGCGAGTGGCTTCGCCTCGGGAAGCCTCAACTTCCCCATCCGCTGAATGGGAGAGATGATAGCTACATCTCAGAGTTACGGGGAATTAAATGTGGAAACACTCAACGCACAACAGAATGTTCCTTTCCTGCTGCCTCCTTAACAGACGAGGGCCTTGGGCATTGGGGAGCAGGGAGAGGAAGCTTCCCAAAGCTACTTAGAACCAGTGGCGGCCCAGGGCAGAGGCTCCTGGCCCAGAGGTGAAGGGTCTAGATGGGGGGAGGGGAGGGTGTGAGGAGGCAAAGTGCTTGGGGATGCCCAGTACATGGCACAGGCCTGACCAGGGGTACCGGGGAAGATCAAAGGGACCGGGTCACCACAGCAGCTACCTCACTAATAAGCTCACTCCCAGTGCCAATTAGGCCTGGCCCTCCCCTGCCTGGGGCAAAGGCAGGCCAGCGAGGGAGGCGCTGAATGAATAGTTGAGATCCCAGCATCCTGGCTCCTGCTGTCTGTCTGCCACAGGCCGCTCCCCAGACAAGGGCACTGAAGTACACCACCCGCAATTCCTGCCCAGAGCCATGTGATTCATTCCCCCCTCTCCCCTCCCTGAGTCAGGGGTCCTCTGCCTCAGGCCCAGCTGGAGGTAGATGCACAGGGGTGGGGGGTGGATGGAGACATGCCCCAGGAGTCAGGGCTGTACCTGAGTCTGGACCCTTTCCTCTCCTTCCCGACTGGACCCTCCTGCGCCTGTCCCAGCCCCTCGCTGGCCTCAGTTTCCTCCTCTGCAAGTCCAAGGGTGGCTCTGATTTCCCCACGGTTGGGATTCTTAGTTTGGGGATCATAAACTTTTTTTAAGAATCTGATGAAAGCCATGCACCCTCTCCCAGGAAGATGCGGGAAGGATCCCTCCCTGCAACACGCACTACTTCACTTGCATGCTCAGGGTGATTGTGGGAGTCCTTGAGGGCCACCCTATGCTCATCCATAACGTCCCTGAATGCCAAGGGGTTACCGAGATAAATAAAATACAGCTCATCCTCTAAGAGCTGGTGGGTCTGGTAGGCGCTGCGCCTACGCTGCAGTGTGTCCCTGGGCGCATCCCTTCCCTCCCGGGGCCTCAGTCTCCACATCTGTGAAATGGGCACCGGAAGAGACCAGCTCCTTACCGTGCGGGCCTGGCTGAAGAGGAAGCGCAGAAGGTCTTTGATGTTCTTGGTCTTGTCCCGCTGAAAGTGGACCACGGCGTGGGTGGGGCTGAAGCCCGTGGCCTGCGGAATCTCAGGCCAGCCCAAGTCCAGGTCTGGGGGGTCGATGTCAGAGGCCATGGGGAAGTAAGTGCCCGAGGTGACTTCTGAGAGCAGGCTGAGGCGGTCAGGGCCTGAGGCCTCCAGTCCGTGGGCCTCCCCCAGCTCCGGACCCCCGCGCACACGACTGGTCATGTAGTCCACATCCAGGGAGCTCAGGAAGGGCAGTTCCTGCTCCTCGGAGATGACCCGCAGGTAGGCAGCCTCGCCCCACTCCAGGAGGGCGTCGGCCGCCAGCCGGGCCGCCTCGCTGTGCTGCAGCACCAGCGGGGAGCTCTCCCGCCACCAGGGCCGCTTCAGTTCCTCCACCCTGCCCCGCAGCGGTCCTGCCATGCCCTGTGCTCCCAACATGCCCGCCCACCGGGCCGCTGTCACCCGCCAGTGGGCTCCATGGCCTGCACCCTGCTGGTTGCAGCAGGGAGGTAGCTGCAAATCCTCCCGCCTGCCTGCCTGTCTGCCGCCTGCCCGTGTGGCAGGGCCCCCAACCCGTTGCCACCTAAGTCAGGAGCCACGCTCCGCCCCGTTGCCCCTGGCTTCTGGAACCTGTTAGGTCAGCCTCGCCTGCTGGCCTGCTGTTGGGACTTGCCCTCCCAGGAAGACGTCAGTGGTAGGCCCTTAGCACGCTCCCACCCCCCACCCCCACCCAGCATTACGTGCCAGCTCCCAGCGAGTTTCCTTCCAACCCTGACCATCAGCATGCCCTTGGAGGTTGTATCACGCTCTTGCTCAGGGACACACACCACACACACACACACACACACACACACACACACGGGTGGATGAATGACTCAGGACACCAAGATAAAGATGTGAGCGCACAAGCGTGCGGGCTGACGGATGTATTGAGAGTTGACAGACACACGTAGCCTACAGGCTGACGTGCAGACCACACATTTTGATCACATGTAGAGAGATCCAAACACTGATTCAGAGACTAGCCCTAACCCCAAACATACCATGATGGCCATGGCAAGCCCAGCACGCCTGCACACAGGCCTTAAATAAGAGCTGAAGGGGGTGTGTCACAGAACGGCCAAGGATGTGACCTGTCTGTGGGCCTTTATTTGTTCCCATAAGGCCCTGCCACTCTCCATCTCCATAGTTGCGGCATCACGGTCACCTGTCCCACCTTCACCCCAGCTCTCGCCCATCCTCTAGGCTCGAGAGCTGTGCCTCGGTTCCCAAGACCAGCCAGGATGTGTTAAATGCAGACCCCCAGGCTCCACCCACCTGAGATTCTGATTCAGAAGGTCTGAGTGGGCTTCTGGAGCTTGCCTTTTTAAAAGCGACACGGTGCCTCTGGGGCAGTGTGCTGAACACACTCCCCCCCCCCCCCGAGAAATGCTGTTCCAGAGGCTGCATTTCCAACCCCCTCAACGTGGGGGAAGCTCTCGGCCTGGTGGGGACCAGACCCCAGCCTTCCTCCCCGCCTCAGGAGCTGAGTATGAAATGGTTAGTGAGAAAGGTTATTTCAAAGAATATGAGGGGGGAGGGGAACACACAGCAGAGTCAGGAAGCAAACAGGGCTGGCAGGTTTCTTATCTTTGTTCCCGACATGGGCCAAAGTCGCAGCATCCTCAGGAGCATGGGTGGGAGGCTTTGCTCTGGGGAAGAGGGATCAGCAGATGGCAGCTAGTTGGGGGGCTGGGCCAGGCAGAAATGGTCACAACAGAGTAATGCCTGCTTGAGGGGCCACCTTCTATGGAGGGATGAGGTCCAATGAGGATGGCCAGGAGACCTAATGCCACGTCCTGAGACCCTGTTTAGACCCTGATTGCAATTGGTTTATCTGATCTGGAGTCAGGTCCAGAGCACAGGTTCTTTTATGTCCTCAGTGTTTCTCCTACCGGACCCAACACATGCACAGGGGGGCGCGGGGAGCAGGCCCCTTCAGCATCAAGCTGGGCCCTGTGATCAAAGATGAATGGGGCTGGCTTTGTCTTTAAGACGTCTAGAAGTGGGAGAGGGACAGGAGGTAAGGTGGGGTGAGGAAGAAGCATAGACCAAGAGCTGAGGTGTGGGAACATGACATCCCATCTCAGGGGCAGGGGCAGAAATGGGAGCACCAGGAGCCGGAAGGAGACCCTTCCTCGGGGTGGAGAGGCTGTGTGAGGGGCAGGAGGTTGAGTAAACAAGGTCAGACCGTGGGAAGGTAATGAGCTGTGGGGCAGCCGAGGTGGCAAGGCCTTCATTAAGGCCTTATCCTCAGATTTATTTGAGGGGAGAACCAAGGCTTATCTGGGTGGAGGAAGTGCTCCTGGGAGGGGAGGCGGTCACATTTCCATGTTGCCGAGTCCCTTTGTTAATCCCTCAGCATGCATATGGTATATATTTTTGGCTTTGGCTTTTTTTTAAAAAACGATTTTAATTGGGGTAATATATATATAAAAAGTTTACATCTTAACCATTTACAGTTCAGTGGCATTAAGCACATATGCCTGGTTGTGCAACCATCACCATCCCCCATTTCCAGAACTCTCTTTATCTTGCAAGACTGAAACTCTGTACCCATAACTCCCTGCACCTTTCTCTAGACCCTGGCAGCCACCTCTCTACTTTCTGCCTCTATGAATGTGGCTACTCTAGGCAGCTCATGGAAGTGGAATCATACAGTATTTGTCCTTTTGTGACTAGCTTATTTCACTTTGCTTAATGTCCTCAGGTTTCATCCATGCTGTAGCCTGGTCAGCATTCCATTCCTTTTAAGGCTGAATAATATTCCTATTGTGTGTATATACCACATTGTTTATCCATTCACACAAAGATGGACACCTGGGTTATTTCTACCCTTTGACTATTGTAAATAATGCTGCTTGAATATAGGCATACAGATTTGACTGTATTTTTGTGTATTTCCCTCTATATCCATGTTTGTATTATATTCCATTTTTGTAAGTAAAAAACAAAACAAAAAACCTACATTTTGTATAGTTCTACTCAACATATATACTTATAACTATGCAGAACTGTACCTGTGCGTGTATGTACTATGATGTTCGTGTATCTACTTGGCTGTCTTTAAGTATCTAGCTGCATGTCAGTGTATATTTACCTATGTGTGCATCTGTGTATACATACTCATGTGTGCCTGTCTGGACAGTGATGGCTTTGACCCTATCTCTGGTACGAGGGAGTTCAATGAGAAGGCAGGGGTGGGAAGACTGAGCCAAAGGGATCCCTGACATCCTGACAATGAAAGCCTGTAAATCAAACCCTCCAGGGCTGCAGGAATGGAGGTCCCTCCCGATGGGCCAAATGGATAAAGGGCAACAGAAGGGTGGATAGATGGATCCTGGCCATGAGCCTGTAGCTAGGGGTGGGGGCCCAGGATGATGGGAACCATATAGATAGCTAAGCCCAGACCAGTGAGTTGGGCAATGGTCCCTTAATAACTGTTATTAAGAGGGGGGAAAATATTTTCCTGTCCAGGAGTTTTGTCAGGCGCCTGCTTGGCATCTCTCTGAAATCCTGAGGGACATTTAGCCGTCTCTAACCAGCCGAGTGGCGCCTGGGCAGGTGACTGTCCTGTGGGGGTGGTGGAAGCAGAGGCCGGGCTGCAGCCCTCCAGGGGCAGGCTGCCCTGATGCCAATGCTGCCACACACCTTTAAGGTGGCATCTCCGGGAGAGGGTAAAGAAGATTCCGGGGAGAAGCAAGCAGGGGAGCCGGCGTGCCCAGATGAATCAAGGCAAAGCAACCTAAGATCTAGAGATGCAGAGCCAAGTGGTAAGGATTGCCAGAGGTTGGCTTGAGGTGGGTATCGGAGGATGAAAATGATTTCAAGATGTACAGAATGGTGCCGAAACCGGTTTGGCTCAGTGAATAAAGTGTTGACCTGCGGACTCGAGGGTTTCAGGTTCAATTCTGGTCAAGGACATGTACCTTGGTTGCGGGCACATCCCCAGTGGGGGGTGTGCAGGAGGCAGCTGGTCGATGTTTCTCTCTCATCGATGTTTCTAACTCTCTATCCCTCTCTTTCTCTCTGTAAAAAAATCAATAAAATATATTTTAAAAAAAGAAGATGTACAATGGCAAGCAGGGTGTTCCAGGCTGGAGGTCTGGGGCGGTGGTATAGGGAAAGGACTGTCAGAAAGGCCGTCTGGGCCATACTCTGAAGGGGATCTTGCTAAAGTGCGGCCTCTCGGTGCAAAGATGATGACACAGAGGTTGGCAGGGTTCCTAGACTGGAAGCAGTCCCCCGGGGGAGAGAGCCCAAAGCACCAGACTCCCAGAAGCAGCCCAGGTGGGTGTGGTCCACTGACCCTGAGCACCACAGAGGCCTCCGGGAGGTTACAGAACTCTGCACTTAACGAGCTGAACCAACACAACTCTGAGTCACAGCGCCTGGATCTGCGGGATGGGACCAACACCACGTCCCTCCCCAGGCTGCTGTGAGGAATAAGTGACTGACTGACAGGAGCAGTGGCCCAGTACCTGCTGATTCCAGAGCTTGTCTGGCCAGGAAAGGGCAGGGGCTTGGTGAAGGCCCGAAGACAAACGAAGCAGTGGTGGGGCCCCTGGAGGTCCAAGGGCTGGCCCTCAAGGTGAACTTGGCTCCTGGCTGTCAGAGGAGTGTGGCTCTGAGATGCTGCTCTCAGCCCAGTTCAGGAGGCAAGGTCCTCTCTCCACTTTGCATACACAGACCAGTAGTCACACCTTTCTGGGCACTTGGGATCCCAAGGAATGAGAATCTTGGCATTCTATTTCAGAAAGGTGGCTGTGTCTGTGTCAGAGTGTAGACACTGTGATCCCTCACATTCTTCCCTCTCCATCTCATCTCATTCAATGGGGGTGATCCAGTCACCACTCCCTCCCCTCTCCATCCACTCTACTCAGCAAGCATTTACTTATTTATCTGTACTGATGTGAGAGAGGGAAAGAGAGGGAGAGGAAATTGATTTGTTGTTCCACCCATGTACGTTCCCCCTAGTTGTTTCTTGTGTGTGCGCTGACCAGAGATCAAATCTGCAACCTTGATGTCTTGGGATGATGCTCTAGCCACAGAGCTACCCAGCCAGGGTATACTCTGCATGTATTTAATGCCTACTTTAGGCCAGCACTGTGGTTCCAAAGATGAATAAGACCTGGACTCTGCCCTGAAGGAACTCAGTTTAGTGGTGAAGGCAGACTCATACTTATAAGCCACAGATTAAGCCGAAGTATAAACCAAATGCTTGGGGTTTAGAGCTCATGACCCATTCTGGAACCTCTGAGTATGTCTCCACTCCACACTCCCAACTAGGGTACAGCCCTGTGGCGGCCTTTCTCAGATGGTGACTAGTTGAAGGAGCTGTTTCTGGTCAGAGGGAGAAAGCAAGAGAGAAGGGGCAAGCCAGCACAGGCCCATGGGGC